TGTCAAAAACTTCTGTTGCCATTAAACACATGGACACAGAAACATGAGAAGATGGGGTCCACATTGGAAATACCAAGGTTACCCTTTAAGGACCTACAGACACCCTGATGTCCTGCTTTCTTGTGTCAAGTAATGCCACCCTCCTCTGACATGAACTGACACTACCCGACAGGCGGCAGGGAGCACTCAAACACCACTACCTGTTTTTCCCGCATTCACTGAGTGACTCTTGGTTTGTCAGGATCTGAAAATAGTGTGGTGTGTGTGAAGTTATATAAGCTGGCAATTTCACCTATCTGTTGAGCACAGTGAAAAACCAACAGAGCTGCCAATGTTGATTTTCTAAGGTAGAGCCAGGACAAAGAATACAATGGGAACATGCAATAGATCATGTTCAAATACAGTAGAAAACTGGGAGAAATAAGCTTGTTGGCAGGTCTACTATGTGCAGTACTGCTAAAAATAATGGAACATTTATTTTAATCTCTTAGTTCATACTGCCTTGCAGTATAGTCCTGCCTTGGAATACAGGGAACTTCTCCCACTAGTGATTTACTGTATCTGCTTAAAATAAGTCATGTCTCTGGGCTTGAAAGAGGCGTGTACGCAGGTGTTTGATCACTGCTACAACTTTGCTCACTGATGCCAGAACCACTTTGACAAACTGTTTGGACCAACCTCTTAAGTAACTTTCTCACTTGAATACAAAAAAAAGCATGAATTGGTGTTTAGTAGTAACAACAGCACTCTCCTGACAGTACTCTTGCGGCAACAGAATGTAGCAGCAGCACTCTGAATATCTTCATACCACAGAACAGTCTCAGCTTGTCTATCTCAACCTGCCTCAACAGGCTTACAATACACTGTGTGTCTGATGGTAGTCAGTGGACATCATCACACACGACAGCTGGAGCTGAGCTCAAGAACCAACTTGAACTACTGCTCTAAACCACTTTTTGGTAAAATTTTATGTTAGTATCTTTTTGGGTGAATCTTACAGCTTGATGAAGTATCCACATTTTGACAAATGATAATCTGTCATCTATAATGTGGGTCAGCTTTCCCTTTATTTAATTTGTACCCATGCTGACTGAGGCTCAGTGACTGCAGCCTAATGTTATGAAATTTCAACTGTTTGCGTAAGACAGATGAAAAATAACTCCACCCAGCCCTCTGACTGCACTAAGCTGCAACACCTGGGATTTTATTTTTTCCTGCTCTGGAAGCCTTGCTGTGACAGTGCAATGCTAGTTTTGCACAAGAGACAACAAAATTATACCCAAATCTGGATGCAACTGCAGTTCTTTCATGGTGTGGTCAAGCAATCTATTCAAATAATAGCAGCTAGGCTGCTTAGAAGGTTCATGTGTAAAAGGAAATGGAGTTGTCACTTTTTGGACATCATGAGCATGACTCAGAGACAGCCGTTGAACTCCCTCAGCCCTTTACAACATCTGCCCAAAGCTGGTACTCTCTGGCAACTCTGCAAAGCTATAGCACATCAAAGTTTCCACTTAAAACAACTAATCATGAACCAAAACTCAACCCGATCTGTGACTTAATGACCAAGCATTAAAAAACGAGTCCTTTAGTCATTGATATTGGAACATATGTTTTATGACTGTAAGGCTTGGCGAGAAAGTAGAAGCCATCTGCTTGATGAGCAGAGACGAGTGCAGGCCAACCTAATTCTCAGCTGCACTTTCTATTGCTGTCCCAGTGTAGATCAGAAGCAGCAGAGTGGTTAACAGCCTGAAGGGAGGAGGGGTGAGTACAAGGGTATGCAATGTGAGGAGTGATGAGTTCAAGCCTCTACATGCAAGCAATGCAAACCACTTTTAGCCCCCAAAACTAACTGAGCATACCATCAAGCGGAGTTCTATCATTTGGAATAAATATGCATGTCAGCAGTGGTTACAAAACATTTCTCCTCCTCAAAGTGAGAACCACTCATATTAAAGGATACCTACAATAACTGTGGGGTTCATGTGGATAAGTAAAAGAAGTATTACGACTAAAGACTATCTTTCAAATGTCTTACATATAGTGTAAACCATCAAGAAAGAGGGAAAAAACTAGCTAAGGGAAGGTCAGCACACCGATCAATACAAACCTTGCTGCTGCAGGAGGGGCTAAGACATCTAGCCTCGTAAAATTTTGTTTGTCCCTTAAACCTACATTTGTTGTTAGTGTAGATTTGTATTGGGTCAGTACAAACGAGACAAACTGTTTAGGATAATAATCGGTAGCCTGGCACAGAAGAGAAATTAGAGAAGTTAATCAAAAAGCATGCTCGGATGCCGAGAAACGACCATATATGGACTAAAAAGCGTGAATGAGGAAGTGTAGGCTGAATAGGAAGTAGTATTGCGCCTGCTCAAATCCAGGCTAACGAGCAAAAGGTTTGTGAATTCCACCAGTTAAAGTCACGGTCAGATATTTTCACATGACACATTATTAAGGAAAACCGGTCAAATTCACGTAGAACAATAGACTATGATGACGTTAACGGCCTGTCAGCTTCAAATGAATGAAAGCAGCTGTGAGGGAAGTCTGCCTCAGTCTGGTTTCGGGCTTGCAACAGTATACATGAGCTAGGCTTTTGCAGCGAAATCCCTTCGACAGGAAGAAAACATTTTCTAGTGATGAATCCCTCCCCATGATGAGACTAGCTAATAGGCAGGAAAACGAACATGAAAAATATACAGTGACTGTGTAACTTACGCCAGAACAGCTCAAATGACCTGGCTGGGTTTATCTCGGAATGCAACCGGGACACGGTAATAACATGTCACAGTTAGCTGCCTGTTAGCACATTAGCTCTCTGGCTAGCTGTCTGCATACACACAGAGGCAGACACACACACACCCAGTGGCTGCTGCTGCTGCTGCTGCTGCTGACACTGACAGTCCCTGACCGGACTCAGCCTCTCTGTCACACCCGAGCCCCCTGTCTGCACACGGCGGGTCGGTTTGAACAGCTTACCCTGTGCCGCAGTCGACAACACACGCCGGTAACCGTCCAGCCATTTCTCCCCGGGTCTCTGTTGTTTAGAAACAATGAAATTTGATGGATAGCAGGCTGTGTCGGCTGGAGGATATGGCAAGCCGTCCACAGGCGGAACCCTGAGCCCCGCACAGTACTGTTTCCACTTCCGCACTCGGTTTCTGGTAGGCAGGGAGAGAAGCAAGATGGCGGAGGCCGGGTAGAGCGACGCAGGCAGGGCTATGCAGCTGTCAATCATCGAGGGAGGACCAGAAATCAGTTTACATGAACTCAGCCATGAACTCTAGGAGGATGTAGCGGTAATATTGTAATCTTGTACATTCATACAACCTCCTTTGTTTTACGTTCTCTAATGTACAACATGTTAGTTGTTTGTATTTTTATAATGAATAACATTTTTGAGAAAAAAAAATCCTTGTGATACGTTTCTTTCAGGCCAAGTACTTGCCTCTGGGTCTCAGGATATAATCTTGGTAAACACACAAGAACAACACGTTAAACGTAAATTAACCCTTTGATGTCCACACTAAGAAAAAGGTAGGCCTACTGGGGCAAAAATCTGCATTTTTATTTTCTTGGTGTAATAATGACAAAAATCAATTTTTTTTTTTTTTTAAACAGAAGCCATAGTACTTTAATTATAGGCCTCTCCCAAACGGTTGAGAAGTAACTTCATGGTAATAGTAAAACAGTGAGAAAAAAATAAAAATTACAAACCATATGTTGTTGTAATAATAGGCCTAGTAGTATGTTAGTATACCAACATGTAGTCTATCAATTTGTTTCCATGGAATTAATAGTATTACCAGTACTAGTATCATTTCCACAAATGTATTCTGGATATCTACCATTACAATAATTTGAACACATTTCAGAAAGGTAAAACAATTGTACCAATATATTTTTTTCATCAAATATATAATGGAATAACATTAATGTTTTATAACATGCCCCTTGTTGTGGACATTAGGTTAATCTTTTCCACAGAATGTACATTACAGTACATTTACATTATATAAATCATACAAATATAATATAAATTGACTTTTAAATAAATGTAGGCCTAATATTAAAGGTATTGTGCATTGTTTATGTGTCAGTTTTAATCTAAAATGGGCACTGAGAATCAATAATGTTTTTCCTCAGGCTCCTTCTCAGCTGATATGTCCACCTTTGGACATTGAATATCCTGCTCTTTACTCTCTGGCTCTGTTTTTTTTTTTTCTCCAGTATACTTGTTGAAAATTGAGAAAAAGCAAGTCCCACTGTCCTCCACAAACGACACAAGTCAATATGCATATTCTAAAAGACTTAAAAAGAACAACAACATCCTTATAAAGAACAGAAACAATATATTTTTAGAAATGTGATCACTTACCTTCCTTAGTGCCATAAACGTGATTTGTTGTTGTTGTTGATGTTGTTTTTGCAATTCTACCACCATGTATGTTACATTACTGGAAAGCCCCGGAATGCCCTTTACGCTGTACATCAGAACTCAAATTGTTTGCATGCATGGTGTATAAAATAAAGGCTTCAGTGCTATGTCCCCCACAGAGGACAAATATGAATTCCTTGGTCTCCTGAGCTCAAATGTGTATTTTGTGGTTTATTTATTATTAATGAGATGTTCTCATCCCTTTCTAACGTGGGAAATAAAGCACACCATGTAGTTATGTAAATGAATGAAGATCTAAGAGACAATAAAATAATAATAATCATAATGATCTATGGCATTTCATAGATATATATATTATACATTGCCTTATACTTCATAAAGACATTAAAAACTAAGTATATTATTATTGTTGTTATTATTATTTGTATTAGTAGTAGTAGTATGGGAGCGGTATGATAATGATAAACAAACATCAAAAAATAATTTAACTATTCCATCTATTTATATAGATTTTTTAAAATCGCCGGTTCTCCAGATCAGTAGGTGGCAGTAATCGTCCTGAAAAAGTTGTTCGTCATCCGGAGTGCGTCAAAACTAAAGAAGAAGAAACAACCTAAAATGTAGTGCGAGAAACTGGTGTAAACATATATCATGAGAGAGAATTATTTTCTTCCCAGGCTATGACACATTTTCGAGGTCAGATACGGGGGCCACACTGGGGCCCCACCATGGACAACATGCTGATAGATTTCTGGCGTAGACATGAATGCCTTTTTAATTCCTCGGTCGATGCTTACTACGATAAGGATTTGAAGACCAAGCTGTGGACCGAGTTCGCCTTGTCCATCGGAAAGCCTGGTAAGGAGATGACACAGTGTATTGTTGGTGCTGAATTCAGTCAGTGTTACACCAAGAAAACCTAAAGCAGTATGCAGTCTCAGGGGGAAGACCAGCGGTATGAACCCAGCTGAACTTTACTGGAGTTTGTATGTATGGAAATATGTAAATTAAATTTACTGTGTAGCCTGCACTTTATGGTTTATTCTTACTTCTTTTTTACTACCAAATTACAGCTGTTAAGTCACAATAAAGCATATAGATATGACCTTGGACAGTAATAGTTGCAATAATTCAACTAGGCTACAACAATACTTGGTGCAATTATTTAACTGTGCAATATTCTTCTCATATTATACCTATACTTAACCACTCTTGATTGTATATTTAACAAATGTTGCACATATTGTATATATTTCTTATTCTTATTTCTACTTACGTATACATTATGTTGTACATTTTAGCTTTATACACATTCTTTATGTTACTTAACATACTAGTTTTCTACACTGCAGTGTGGCAAGGGTACATATTTTTACATTTTTAATACACTTTACATACTCAGCATATTATACATATTTTACATTGTTAAATATTTTACATCCTAGTGTTAACATTGTAGCATACTACACATATTTTACTTTATGTTTTTACATACTGCATACTGTATACTCGTTATTTCTACTTCTGTCATTCTCTTCACTTTACATCAGAGCAACTGCAACAGATCGCAATTTCCAGGCAGGGATCAACAAAGTATTTCTGATTCTGATTCATAGAAAGTAATGCACCATATTTACTAAGACGTGTTTTCACCTTGCAGTATCTGATGTTGAGAGAAGATCAAGATCACTCCGGACTCAGTATGGGAGGGTGTTATGGCACCCAGAGAGGGTCAGCACTGCCCAGCAAAAAATGCTTAGGGAGAAACTTGATTTCTTGAGGCCTTACATAGTTCGTAGGCGAGGTGATTCATTTCTGGTAAGTTGGAACTAATGCAGAAAGCCTGTAGACACTTTCCTACAGCTCTGATTACAAATGTGTATGTTTTTGCTTGCTATTTTTGCAGGAGGACAAGTTTGATGATCGGGAAGAGGATGATGAGGAGTTGGAGACTGAAGGAAGTATTGACCAGGAGATGGGAAATTCATTTGATAGCTCACTGGATGCCGATGTGACTGGGCAGGATCTGAATAATGAACCCCACCCGTCGTCGAGCCTGAACCCCACTCCCCTGCTCTGTCCAAACCTGCAGCCTCAAGTTACAGAGGTTGTGTCTTTGAGCTGTTCTCACCATCACAATGATGAGGGTTCTGCTGATCAGGCTGACCAAACAGCTGCACCACACACATCCAAACACAACATACTAAACCAGTTTGCAGAGGTTATGTTGGCGGATATGCGTCAGATTAAAGACCCTATGGTACTAATGAGACTCCGCCGAGATATCACTGACCTGGTGTTCAAAGCAGTGGAAGAGGACGTGAAGAGACGATGTGCTCAGGCACCATCCATGTCCATGCTAGTAGAAAGCACGCAGTTACACAGCTGCTCCAGGCCCCAACATCAGGCACCTTCACAAACAAACCACTCTTGGAGGCAGAGGTTTTTGAAGAGAAGGAGCAAAGGGTGTGAGATCGGCAGAAGGATACAGAGTTGGGAGGAGATGAAGCACATGAGGAGAATGTCCAGGAGTCAGTTATTACAGCCTGTCCAGCAGGGCCAAGCACCAGAGGGGATGAGTGAAAACGGCTCTCAGATTATTATTCAGGCTTCTGAGATCAAAAGAGAGACAGAGCCACACATGGTTAAGATTGAGGACGAAGCGCTTCCATCCGCTTGACATTTTAGACACAGGGTTGCCACTATTTCTCCTGATTACAGTCGTCTCAGTCAGTGAGTGTAGGTTAGAAAGTTTCTCAAGAATTGAGACACTTAAATCAGTCATTCAACAGTAATTGATAACAGTAGAAATCACATACTGACATGTACCAGTCTTGTAAATTGCCCTCTTTGCCACTCAGAGGTCCTGGTATTTTTAACATCTTAGCACTTAGTGGCACTTCGTAGAGGATTCCAATTATCCATGTTGATACCAGTAAAAGACGTGGGACTATTACCAGGATAAAGAGGTATCTGAAGACTTAAGGACAATAAATTGTAATACCAAGGACCACATGCAAAATCAGAAATCAAAGCAGAAATCCTTTATTTGCCTTTTCAAACATAAAATGTCTAGTTTTTAATGAATCTATGCCTTTTAAATATAATAATCCAGACTAACTGATACTTGGTCTGTACCGTAAGGTTGGTATTTAATATGGGTGTGACTTTCAAACCTGAAAACTCACAGTCTTACAAGTGTGATGTGTGATTTCTGGATAATTCTGAGCTGTAAGCACAAGGCAGTGGACGCTGTGTGATCCGACTGGAATACGTGATGCTGAATGGATATTTTGATGTTCTGCTCCTATTAAAGAGAAAATGCTGGTTTCATCTTTGGTGTGTTCCATGTGGGTTTGTGGGGGAATGCAGTCACAGTTTACATCTGTGTCTCTGAAAACATATGCTTCACACACAACTCCCCCTACAGCACAGAAGATCTATACAATCAGCACAGTTTCAAGGTGGACGTCCATGATTAGTGTCACCAATTCACCCTTTCTTAGTTATGAGATTTTTGCAGAATATTACGATGTCACTGAAAAAACTATAGTCATGCTGCCGCTGGCTCACAGAACATCTGATGATGGGGTGCACATTCAAATGCAAGATCCAGGAGGCCGTTTCAACATTTTATTGCAGACAGTAGTTGAACAGTTCTATAGTGGTTGTCAGATGTTTTTTTCTATAACAAAGAATATTAAAAAATGTTGCAACTCTGCATAATGTGAAACAATAATAATAATAATAATAATAATGACCTTGACCCTTGACCACCGAATTCTGATCAGTTCATTGTTAAGTCCGAGTGGACGTTGGTGCCAAATTTTAAGAAATTCCCTCAAGGTGTTCTTGAGATAATGTGTTCACAAGATCGCAAGAATCCCTCAAGTTCTACTAAAGACTGAGTCATTCCTTCAGAGAATTTTCAAGGATGCATGTGTGTATCCTCAGCAGGTATCAGGTGCCCACAGTTCTTTGTGCACAATTTCCAAGAACTGAAGGCAGGGCCTCTTCAGTGACACACACCCAGGCATTTGCTACCCTGTCCCAATGTGTGTTCTGTAAGCGGCTGCATTTTAAAGAGGCTACATCATTGAATCCTGCCGAAGGACAGTTCCAATGTCAAGAATCCTTTAAATTCTGCTGAGGACTGAGTCTTTCCCTCAGAGAATTTTGAAGGATACATGTGTGTATTCTCAGTACTCACTGTGCACAAATTACCAAAATTGATGGCAGTGGACACTTGAGAACTTGCTAGCCTAGAAAAATGTAATGAAAGGACCTGTCCTTCCAAGGAAGCATTCAGGACTTTGAGAAGCACTGAATGTTTTCCTCTTTTAGCATAATTTTTTTTCTTCTTTTAGCAGAATACTTGAAACCACACCAAATGACAGCTATTAATTAAATTAAATGTTGCACTCCTACATGCCTGACTCTTTGATAATGGTGAAAAATCAATTCATTTCTTTTACTGCAAGATTTTGTTTTCAACTTTTAACTTTCAAACATCAAATGGTATGTTTTAAAAACTCATCCATGTTTTCTTAAAGAAAAAAAAAAAAACAACTGGTAAAATGAATACAGCCATTTAAATTTGTATGCCCCTCCCCAGAGCCAAAAACCCCCAACCGCCCCCTTTTTGCACACCACCCCCTCCCCTCTCACTGCCTAAAGCTGCCCATACTCAGGCTGTAGCTGCAGGCTTTGAAAGTTTCAGACTAAACGTTTAAAAATTTTGCTAATATAATTTGTAGTTATCTCCCCCCCCCAACAACCACAAGCACCGGCCTGACACGCCTGTGCAGTGAGCGTGAGGTCCTTCACATTTTCACTCAGGCACTCCACACTGGTACCCCGAAGGGCCCTCAACACCGGACACATACACACGTGTGTCGTGCGCCGTAACGATGGCGGACCTACAGATGAAGCTTCTCCGCAAGAAAATTCAGAAAAGAAGTGAAAAGAACAAAGAGCGCAAACTACTCCAGACACAGACAGAGGGCACAGAGGCCGGTATGTGCTGTAAATAAACTAGCTTTCTGTTGTTGTTGTTGTTTGTTTTCTGTGTTTCTGAAGTGGTGGCGAACTCAACCTGCTAAGCTAGCAGCGTTAGCTCCTCACGGCATGATTTTTAATCAGGAATTCTTGTCACACCGGTTAAACGTTTAATGTTTCAGACAGATAAAACGTTAGCTGACGTTAATTTTTAACAGTAGATACTTGTTTGTGTTTGTCACTATTATTTGTCACTGATTAGTGTAATTTATAAGCTTTGCTAAAATGTAGCTAGCTTACATTGCAGCAGTAACGTTACCATTTCCAAAGTTATATGTAACGCCGTAGAGAACTCTTAACTCTATATTGACCTCCATTAACGCGAATAAACATTTTCCAGGAAGCATAATTATAGAAAACAACTTAACTGCTTACAGCTCTCCGCATTATCTTGATAATACCTGCTAAATGTGAGATTTGTTACAATGTGTTTGACAGTGAACTCAAACGGGTTGGCAGAGGAGTGTTGTGAGGAACCAGCAGCTGTTTGTAAAGCTGACAACAAGCCCAAGAAAAAACAGAAGAAGCAGCTTGGGGTACCATTGGAAGGGATCACATCAGAGCAAACTTCTTTGAAGAAGAAGAAGACAAAGAAGAAAAGAAAGCTTGCTGACACTGCGGAATCACCAGGTAACAGCTGGAGGAGTTGACCCATCTGAATTTGACACACTACACTTTTTGTTTTGGGTAACTGATGTGAAATTATCCTCTATCCAGCTGAGAAGAAGACCAAAACAGTGAAAGGAGCAGAGGAAGAGGAGGAGGAGGAGGAGGAGGAGGAGGCGGAGGAGGTAGCAGCAACATTAGCAGATGGAGAGCAGGCTACTGAAAATCCAGAGGAAGCTTCAGATGAAGAAGAAGAGGACAAAACTGGAGAGGGGGATGATGAAGAGGATGATCAACCTGAATTACCATCTGGCTTGACAGGTATTGAAGAAATAAATGTCTGCGTACTTTAGGCCTGACTGGATCTTTAGTTTAGTAACTTATGACGATGTTCATTAGCTGAGTACAGTAGATAATAAGAGCATGGAGCATCTGGACAGGCTATGTGGTAAGACAGCATGATTTTCCTTAGTGTATAATTTTACTAAAGGCCCACTGCAAAAAGTTCAATGCTTAAAAACCATTTGGTGAGACTTACTTTTCTGTAAAAGCTGTTTCATCAAAAAGTTTAACAATACCCAAGTCTGATTTGAATGCTGTCAGGTGAACGTAAAGTGCTGTGATTATTTAGATCCTAATCGTAATTTCCGACACACACAACAAAAAGAAGAAATCAAAAAGATAAATAAATCATTAAGAGCCATGAATGAGAGAATTAACAGTTGTAGAGAAAATCCTTCTCATGTCAGATCAGGTTAGGAAAATAAATTAAACAGAATTAAATTTGATGTATTATTTCTCCCCTTGCCATGCAGGGTTCAGTATAACTTTGATTCACGCCAAATGCTGGTATAAAGAAACTAGTAAACACTTAATACAAAGCATCTTAGCAAATAGGTGTGTAACTGAGTCACAACCTAACATCAAGGGATGAGAATCACCAGAGAATCCACAGTAAGTCACAATTCACCCCTGTTGTCACAGTGAAATCTTTGTCTGACCTGTCTGTCATTCTCACACATGTGCATGCACACAAACTACATTATTAGCCTGGTAAGGCATGTACACACATGAACAGGACACCTTAAGCAGAAATCCAGCTGTGTTGTTTTTAACCCGATTTCTTATTTGCATGGCATCTAAGAAATCGGGTTCAATCAGAAGGCAGACAATAACCTGGCTCAGTTTTTCAACAAAAATAATCTGTATCAGAATGATGAGGATTTGGAAATCCTATATTTTGCAATCCAAGATCAGCAACTGTGATACTCAACTTTCTCCATATCGCCCAGCCTTATTACAAATCATTTATTTGACCTCGGTTTAATCAGGGCAATCAGAGTTCTATAGTCTTTGATTGGACTGTAACCAACAGTTGTTTTGGTTATAGATTAATCTGCAGATAAACTCATGATTAATCAATGAATTGTTTAATGGCCATTAAATATTTTGCGATTTACTTATTGATTCTTCAACTAATTGTTGCAGCTCTAGTTTCTAGGTGATGTTTTACAGTGCAGGACATGATTTTATTTGTTTATTTTGTCATGTTTAGGTATGGAGCTCTTTTAAAAATATGTTTTTACATTCAGGTGGTTCAAACCTATGTGTTTTTTAGAAGGAATAATCGAACGTCAAGTTTTTTTCTATTTTTTTAACCATCCACCCGAGGTGAAAAACAAAATATAGCTGATTTGCCTTTATGTGTTGCCCTTTCAGTGTTTCCATCATGAAACGGGTGTCAGCCAAGGCATACAGAGACTCTTGTGGTTATCTTTGGGAGAAGTCACCAGTGACTTTCCTGACAAGAGTTACTGCAAGGACACAGTGGATTTGACTAGTGTGTTATGGCTGATTATGTTGCCTTCTCTTTCTCTACATGCTGCTTTGTTGTGCTTCATCTCGGCCTTTCTTTAAATGGAATCTGCTTTAGGGAAAACATTCCATTCATGAACTATTGACTGGTATTTCAGGAGCATTTGAGGACACATCCTTTGCCTCCCTTGCTGAGCTGGTAAGTGAGAGCACGCTGAAAGGAGTAAAGGAGATGGGCTTCGAATACATGACTGAGATCCAGCACAAAAGTATTCGTCCCCTGCTGGAAGGAAGGTAAGTCTCCCATTCTCCTGAGCTGTGGCCTTTACAGCTCAGTTATTTTAAGGAAAAAAATAAAATATTTATACTAATATCACAGTGTGACTTTGTTGGTAGTGAAACAGTGTTTGCCTCTCTGTAGGGACGTTCTGGCTGCTGCCAAGACAGGTAGTGGTAAAACCTTGGCCTTCCTCATCCCATCTATAGAGCTCATCTACAAACTCAAGTTCATGCCCAGGAATGGTAAGACCCCTGTTAATGTATCCTCTCTCCTTAGTGTTTTCTGGCTTCAGTACTTTCTGGGATGCTGAGGGAGAGGGAAGCAAACTGCTTTTATCTACTGTATCAAACTGTGTCATGTAGGTTGACAGGAAGCCCTTCACTTATGTCCTCCTCTTCCTCTCAGGCACTGGTGTAGTGATCCTTTCACCCACACGTGAGTTGGCAATGCAGACTTATGGTGTGCTGAAGGAGCTGATGACGCACCATGTGCACACCTTTGGTCTGATCATGGGGGGCAGCAACCGCTCAGCTGAGGCCCAAAGACTGGCCAACGGTGTCAACATCCTGGTGGCTACACCTGGCCGTCTACTGGACCATCTGCAGGTGAGCAGGGTCCTGACACAAAGACACTCCTACCAACAATTCCAGAGCCATCACATGTACTGAGTACCTTATCAAGATGATGACATTATGAATCCAGACAGTATATGAAACAGGTCGTTACTCATTCATATTGCAATCACAACAATTAAGGCAAATTCAGGCAATCCCCGTGAATACTGTGCAGCCTTGCACTTCTGTCCAATCACCACAACTTTACCACAAATTTGACTGTTAAAAATGAGTCACATCTTATTTCACTGTAGAGCTGCATGTTGCGTATTGATTTGCTTCGCCCCTCTCTCAGTTTATAATGAGACATCTGCTGTACGTGGGACATAATAGCTTACACAGTGAGAGGGCTAACTGTTCACACGGCTAATGTTACCCAGTTTGTAGTAATGGTCTTAATGACAGTCGAGTTTTTTTTGCTCTGAGATGGTTGGGACCGCTTAACAGCTCGGTGTCAGATAGCTGCTGCTGCTGTTAGCTGGTGCTAACCAGGCAGAGAGAGCAGGAAGTGAGCAACTAACGGAGACAGTCCTTCAGCGCTGCTTCAGATGGCAGCAACAGCTGATTGTCAGCGATCAGCTTTTGCCAACCGCCTCACATCCACCCCCCTCCCACCTTCACACGTAGATTTAATTCTGTTGGAAACACTCAGTGCTTTATGTAATAAACTCCAAATCCATGACAGCATCACAAATATTTTTGCAGTTTTCATTTGCTCCTGCAATTTTATTGCAAGAAAATGCCTAAAAACATCACATGTATTACATTTTTTTTAGGGAAACCTGCAGTGAAATCAAGTATATCAGGCCGTAACAATCACAAAAAAAAACCCCAGCAGAAATCCTGGAGGGACTGATTAGAAGTCATCATGTGTTTTAGAATTGATAGTACTGACACATCAATCAAACATAAACATATGTGTTGCTGGTGTGTTCCTACTGTAAATGTCAAGTGTTTCTGCTGCTCCTGCTAGTTGTTAATACTTGGGTAAGAATATTAAAAATCAATACTATTATGCCCTCAGAATACCCCAGGCTTCATGTTCAAGAACCTCCAGTGTCTGATCATTGATGAGGCTGACCGTATCTTAGAGGTGGGCTTTGAAGAGGAACTGAAGCAGATCATCAAACTGCTGCCAAGTATGTATCTATTGTTGCTAAGCTTCCTCTTAATTGGGTTTTTTTTTTTGTACTGTTTTGTTACAGGGGACACCTAGCAGTTGTAGTATTGTACTTTCATAAAGTTAGGGGACTTTGATGATGATTTTTTTAATAGTGGTCAAAATTACAATACAAGCAGAGGTATGTTAAGTCAATATTATGCTCCAAAAACACAGGATCTCTCCCATAAAGCAAATTAAAAACATCTTTTATTAGATCATCTCTGCTTATTAAATGCCTACATTTAATACCTCACACTGCTGGTTTATAAGAATGACTGTCTGTTTATAGACTTCAAACCCAAGCAAAGATAAGTCTGGTGACATCAGGGTTATTTTCTCAGACTTGTACTCTTTGTGGTTGGTTTAAGTTATATACAGTATTTTGACACTCTACAACAGGCATGTCCAAAGCTCCGTCGGGGGCCAGTTGTGGCCCTGCAGCTTGTCTTTCAAAATATGCTATATGTGGCCCACTACACAACATTAGTTAATCTAACAAGATCATTTAACATTTTTTCCGTTCACCTCACAGTGGCAGGACTTTCACACAGTTAATAGACATGCACCAAGTAGGAGGGTGGAACGGATGTGTTTGCATAAAGAGACAGTAAACAAGCAAACAGTTAGCTAACAGCATACATTTCCTGTCAGGTGGGAGACAACAAAGAAACATTAAGTTGACAGTGAGGGCTGCTGCTTTCAGGAGTATCTTTTATTGAAAGATGAAACAGTTGTTTGTTTCATTTGTGTGGGATTTTTTGAAAATAACCTGTAGGATGCAAGAAGCAGTTGGCTCCCAGGTATTTTCACATTATGTATTCTGGCCCCCATTCAAAAAAGTTTGCACACTTCTGGTCTTTGACAAAAAACCCCCCAAAACACTTGAACCTCTGACTCATCCTGCGCTCTCTAAAGTCGGGCTCAGACTACACGCAGTGATGCATTGCTCTCCATGGCACGGTAATCTTAATGATATCCTGTGGTGTGCCATTATTTTCAAATTGTATAGTGTGTGCATAATTGACATTTGAGTGAACATCATGTGTTAAGTTTCTCCTCATGTGCGTGATGCAACCCAATTTCAAAATTGGCTAGGAATTTTAAAACCCCTGCCCGGATTAAATCATTGTAATGTTTCTGGCTCTGTTTTCTCCAGAGAAGAGACAGACGATGCTGTTTTCAGCCACTCAGACCCGTAAAGTGGAGGATTTGGCTCGCATCTCCCTGAAGAAAGAGCCCCTTTATGTCGGTGTAGATGACAACAAAGACAATGCCACTGTTGATGGCCTGGAGCAGGTACTGTCTGCTACATTCCTGTTAAATCAAAGTTACACAGGAGGTGGACTGGCCTTGAAAGTGATCAGCACATTGAAGTGATATAAAGTGATCTCTGTTGTGTTTCAGGGTTATGTGGTGTGTCCATCAGAGAAGCGCTTCCTGCTACTCTTCACCTTCCTGAAGAAGAACCGCAAGAAGAAGCTCATGGTCTTTTTCTCCTCCTGTATGTCTGTGAAATTCCACTATGAACTACTCAACTATATTGACCTGCCTGTCATGGCCATCCATGTAAGACATGTCACGAACCTTCAAGCCACATTACATCAAACGCAGCATTCATATACGTCAGTCTCCCCTACAAAAACATCTGTTGTAAAAAGGGTTGTTCTCAATCATCTTGCTTCCAGGGCAAGCAGAAGCAGACCAAACGTACCACCACCTTCTTCCAGTTCTGCAACGCTGACTCAGGCATCCTGCTGTGTACTGACGTGGCAGCTCGAGGCCTGGACATCCCTGAGGTGGACTGGATCGTCCAGTACGACCCCCCAGATGACCCCAAGGTATCCAAACTACTACTACATTACACAAAATAATAATGGTTCAAAATTGCAACAAAAAATGATAAAACCAGTTTTATCCCAAAAGCTCATTTTAATATATATGAAATGAGAGAAACAGACCCAAATGGTTCACTTAGTTTATAACTAACTGCTTGGCTCATGAACACTTATTATTACAAATAATGGCGTCACTTGTGGGGTCGAGTCCCAGCGTAGGACTCCTGTTAAGCTTAGCTTTCTATCTGCAGGAGTACATCCACAGGGTGGGCAGAACAGCCAGAGGCATCAATGGCAGAGGCCACGCGCTCCTCATCCTCCGACCAGAGGAGCTGGGATTCCTCCGCTTCCTGAAACAGGCCAAGGTAACCATCTCAAAGTCTACTGTGGGGTTACTGTCTGTCACTGTATATACTGTTGGATAATTCCACAATTTACACATTATAAGTGCAAGTGTCATGTCTTTAATGGAATGGCTTCTGTTTACACTGCTCTTTTATTGTCCAGGTCCCATTGAGCGAGTTTGACTTTTCTTGGAGTAAAATCTCTGATATCCAGTCCCAGGTAAGAATCTACTTCTTACTACTTCTTTTTTTTAAAGATTTTTTGGGGCATTTTTGCCTTTATAGATAGGACACCTAAGTGTGAAAGGGGGAGAGAGAGGGGGAATGACATGCAGCAAAGGGCCACGGGCTGGAGTCGAACCCAGGCCGCTGCGGCAACAGCCTTGTACATGGGGCGCCTGCTCTACCACTAAGCCACCGACACCCCAAGAGAATCTACTTCTTAAAGTGACAGTTCACCCTCGATTGAAAACACACATTTTTCCTTTTTCCTGTAGCGCTGTTAATCAGTCTAGATTGTTTTGGTGTGAGTTGCTGAGTGTTGGAGATATCTGCCTGCCCTTTAAAACGATGGAACTACATGGCACTCAGCTTGTGGTACTCAAAGCCCCAGAAACGCTCAACATACTTTTAACAGCAATGTTACATGGACAAGAGGCTTGTGTTTGTGACCGCACAAGATCGAAACATTAACCCCGTTTACACTGTCAGATTTTCCGCAAATGTTGGGCCGTTTTGCCGGCAAGTTGCGAGCATTTAGACACACAGAGCCGGATTGGCGAGTTGATCCGAGGTGCCCAATTTTCCGCCTCATAGGGTAGTCATATTGGTGGAACCCTTTTAGTTTAAACAGACAGAGGCGGCCTTCCACAACGGGAGGGTCTGTTGAAGGCTTGTGGGAGGAGCTGTTGATGATGCCGCACGTGCGACCCACTGGCAGTGGTTAAACAGGAAACAGCTGATAGCAGGAATTAGCGAGCAGCTAGTAGCAAGAGGGAAACACAAACCTGAAAGACACTGAAAAGATGAGCAATTGGGGAGACAAGGAATTGCGCACCCTCCTTGTCCTCGCAAACGAAGAGGCCATTAACCGTCAGATGACAGGAACGGTGAAGAACAGGCCGACTTACGAGACAGTCGCTGAAGGACTGACCAGCCGTGGCTTCCCTTCCACGTCACTGTTTACGTCACGTGCTGAGCTACACGTTTTGTTACTTGCTCACGCCCCCCCATTGCCCCGAAAAAGGCACATTCTGTATGAACAAAAGTAGGCAGGCGGCATTTTGCTGCACTCCCCGATTTTGTTTTTATACTGCCAATGCTGAAAAAGACTGATTGGGCTTTCCTGCAAATTTGCACAACTCCTAACTAAAAAGGGCTATAAATGGCGTCCTCCTTGGCTGAGCTGTAACGTTGGCTAGCTCAGTGGTGCTAGGTGAGCTAGCAGTAGATGCACGCTTCCTTATGTGCGGTGATACGGTTTGCGGGTGTAGTTGGGTAGAAAGAAAATAGGTCCTACATAAAAACTGCTCACAACAAGATCTGTGGATTATCTTGAATAACTGGGTCATGATTTCTGGAAAGAGACGTTTAGTTTTAACATAAAACACTTTGTGTCGGGCAGAGGCATCATGTTTTCAGGTTGGCTGTCCATCAGCTCGATTCTTGTGAACGTGATGTCTGGGGATCACCTGGAGGGAATATCTTAAAAGTGAAAGTTAAAGCTCCACTGATTGTCTCACACCTGAGTGTGTGAACTTTGTTCTCCACATTTGACCTATCCCCTGAAGGAGCGGTGAGCAGCAGCGGTGCTGCGCTCGGGAATCATGTGGTGATCTAACCCCCCAATTCCAACCCAGTGATGCTGAGTGCCAAGCAGGGAGGCAATGGGTCCTATTTTTATAGTCTTTGATATGACCCGGCCAGGGATCCAACCCACGACCTCCCAGTCTCAGGGCGGACACTCTACCACTAGGCCACTGAGCTAGCCTTCAAATTTGACGTCCACTTGGATGCAAGGATGAAGTGATTTAGATTTTGGTAGTCAAAGGTCAAGGTCACTGTGACCTCACAAAGCATGTTTTTGGCCATAAATCAATCATTTTATATGCTAACAATGGCACAATTCCACACAAAAGTCTGATAGTACAAAATAATGAAGTGATGGCATTTTATATCCAAAGGGTCAAAGGTTAACTTCACTGTGACATCATAATGATCTGCAAAAACACTTTTCTGGCCATTATTCAACATCATATCTCAGGAACAGAAGGGGAGACATTTGGTCAGATACTGAATTGGTGACACTAATCTTCACCTTGAAACTGTGCTGATTGTATAGATCTTCTGTGTTGCTGTGGGGGAAGATGTGTGTGAAGCATCTTTGTTTTAGAATTTGTAGCTTTTCAGCAACATCTATATTTGTGGCACTGTCCACTGCCACTGTTGCACATGAGTCTGGACAGATATGGATGTAAACTGGTAGTTTAAATGGGTTTGTTTGTTGTTGTTTTTTGATATCTCAAACTACCGGCAATTGGCATTAAACAGTACATATTGATAAATAGCACTACAGGGAAGGGGAAATGTATTTTTGATGTTTGGGTGAACTGTCTCTTTAATAGATGTGATGATGTCTCAGCAGCTTCAACATACCTTTAAATGCAAGCTGTTGTTTTCTTAAGTTATCAACTGACTGCTTGAGTCTAATTTCTGTTTTTTATTCGTAGCTGGAGAAGCTGATTGAGAAGAACTATTACCTCCACAAGTCAGCCCAAGAGGCCTACAAGTCCTACGTGAGGGCTTATGACTCTCATTCGCTCAAACAGATCTACAGCGTCAACACCCTCAACCTCCCCATGGTGGCGCTGTCCTTTGGCTTTAAAGTTCCTCCATATGTTGATCTGAGTATCCTTTGATGTAATTCTACAGTTATGTTAAACACAGCACATTGTTTGTTGGATGTGTTAAGTGTGTCATTATTTGTATTCCTCAGTTCATGTAGAAATGTAAGATTAAGAACTGTTAGTTCTCCTTAACTCAGCTCTTCTCTCCAGACGTCCACAGCAGTAAAGGTGCAAAGTTGCAGAAGCGCGGCGGTGGAGGCGGTTTTGGATACCAGAAGTCCAAGAATGCACAAAAAGCCAGAATCTTTAAGCATGTCAACAAAGGAAAGGGTGACAGGAGGCAATTCTCCCGCTGAGCCCCTTCAAATAAACTCCTCCTGGACTGATTCCTCTGCTATGTATCTGAAGAACTGCCCTTTTTTATTACATGAACTTCCTGCTTTGAACAGAGTGCTTATAGTGTGTAGGGCACATCTCTCTCTGACGTCAGTTAGGCCCAGCTGTCCTCCTAAGAGTTGTTTCCAATATTTTTTTGTAAATGTAAACATTGTGAATGTTGTGTTGAAGAGGCCGCTGCATTCCTTGTGTGTGCCACTGTGGACTTCAGATCAACAAAAATACTCACTTTTCTAACCTTTGTTCATTTCACCTGACTGGAAGATTAAATATCTATTGACTTTAAATATATAAACTTTGCTGACGCTAATTTCAGTGAAGCCACTTGATAGAAACCACATAAGGTGCTGATGTTTGTTTTTTATTATACATCATATTATTACAGCATCAATACATTCCTGCAGAGCTGAAGGACTTTTCCTATGCATGTCGTCAAACAAAGCAACTGGCAGGCACACAGATAGGATCAGGGATAATTAGCTACACATTACAATGTTAAACACACACCTTTTGAAGTAAATCAGTCATCAGAAATATATACAGTAACCAAATGTTCCCTATAGTTTAAAAGTTCTGTATGCAACATTCAGAGCATTAATATAGCAGCTAACCACCATTTGTTGCGTAAGGATATAGTGGAATAATGGCGTCCTGAGCACAGAATGAAATCATGCTTCTTCTGTGTGTTGTAATCAGAGCTTTTCGTACTCCTTTTCCACCATATTAGCTCTGGTTCTTGAACCTGTTCCGTTCAGGATTCTTGGAACCTTGGTGATATGTGGCGAACCAGCCTGCATTTCCATCAGTTTTGGGCAGAACCAGTGTAATCAAGATGTGCCGTAGCCGGAGGGTGTTGCATAATGTACATCCAGAGTAGTGGAGTAGTAGCAATTGTGAATTACACTGATTACCTGCAAACTTTTGTTCTGATACTAGATATTTTTACCCTAAAAAAGCATGCCCAACTATAAATGGGACCACTGCAGCTCTTTTTGGTCTTTCTCACTTGCCCTCTCCATGATTTTGCCTGTTCCCTCCTCTCTTTTCTAGCTGTAGATTATTACACACCTGCTAATGTTACGATTTGTGCTTTAAGTCAAGAAAACCTGCTTCTTTTGGTTCCAGCTTAGAACCAACTATTCTGGGTTCTGAACCAATTTGTTTTTGGTCGAAATGCTCTGAATGATTAAAAATTAGGCACAGTAACCAGAGCAGAACCAGTTTCATGTAGGTAGAAAAATGGTATCAGCGGTTTGGCATGTGTGATGGCTAGCTAATCACATAGCAGTTACCACTGATATGATTAGAGGTATAGTGCCCATCATCCAGTCACCTAGTTAACACCATTATTGTTGGGAGTTCATGTAGTTAGCACCGTTAGCCGCTAGCCACTGGCTCAGTCCCCTTAATGTTAAGAACTATGTGCACACAACTCAGACTATGAATTTTGCATACAGCCCCTTTAACCCCTTTGTGCCCACAACTGAAATTTTAACTTTATTTTAATGGAAGTGTTCTCTGGGCTTGCCAAAGGACAAATCTGAAGAACTTAACAAAAAAAAAAAAAAAAAAAAAGTCACACCATTTTGCTGGAAAATGAGTTTTTCATATTGTACTATATTTAGTCTCATGATAAAATGGTTGAATCTTAGACACAAGGCACACAATTGCATATTTGGTATCTGTAAACTCATAATTTCAATATCACAGACTTGGGACATACATGCAGTCAAAAAAAACTTTGTTGGAAGACATTTGATAAGCACACTGTGCCAGATTTACAGACTTAGTAAATATACTACTTTAACACAAATGATTCATTCTAAATTAAAGTGAGCTTAAAGATTTTTATCACTGAACATGCATGATGGTGCTGTCTTAGGCATGTGCTCACATACCACTGACTCGATGTAAAATTGTTAGGACAAAATCAAAATGTTTTGATGCTTTGATTTACTAAATGGATTGTATGAGGGTTTCCCTTTAGTGTTAGCACTGACTAAGCCATGATGAACTTCCATTCTTAAAAACAATCTAGTTAAAAACACTACATTCCCCTTTAAAAAACATGCAATGCTCCCAAAATCACCCTCTCCATACACTGGATAAATATAAAGTGCTGTTGAGAGCCTGCAAAGTGTCCGCCTGATGTCAGAACTGAATGCAACAGGAAACCTGTTAAAACATATTAGCACTTTTCCCACTCAATCCAAAGAAGTTGAAGTAACTCTAAGGACAAAGTGTCTCACTCATCTTTAGTTGCTCCAAGAGCAAACCCCACTTAAACAGGACGTAAGCTGACCAGTAACCTTTTTCAAGAACTGAATTAGTCCTACTTCTCTCATTCATCCCAGAGTTGAGGAGTAAAAAGTACACACCAAATTTACAGAACATAGTTAAAAAAAAAAACATTACAGTATCACCTTTTGTTTCAGTAATGAGGTACAATAGTGCGACTGTCCTACAAACACCTGAGTTTTCCTATGCTTTACTGTAAAAGTTAAAAAGGCAATTAAGAACACCTTCCCCTTTTCAGAAAAGGTAGATGAAAGAAACTCCCATCAAGAATGGTTCCATTGTCGCTTCAAAAAGCTCCACAGTTCGTGGCAGTCTTCATTCTGGCTGGCACTTGAGGTTGGTGAACTGTTTTTAGTCATGTCACAGCTATATTACTACTAGCAGGGCTGTGTGTCCCTCAGAATGACTGCATATCTCATCATGCAGCAGTCAAGTCCTTTATTCAGCGTGAGCACATTTCCTCTTCCAGTCTTGTTCCACAGTAGGTTCCATGTTCCCATGAAGGTCTTATACGGCAGTCACGGCTGGTGATCTGTGAGGGGAACACACATCATTCTCAGAGAGACCATGATACAGAGAGGCTGACAGACAGATATTTCTTCTGGTTGAATACCAAGTCTAGGGGCTAAGCGGTTAGTACCAGAAAATGATGTGAAACATGTAAACCTTCTGGGGCTGTTGCTCTGTCACTAAGCATCAGATCCAACTGATCTGGAATTGCGTAAGTTTAAAATGCAGCTGTGAGCTTAACTGGACCTTGTTGCTCAGTCACAATAAGCACAGTTTTCAACCTGAAGTGCAGCTAAACCAAATGCATTAAAAAGCTTCAACTCCTTTAACTAGGGATGCATGATATTTGATTTTTTTGTCAATATCCGATATGCTGATATATAACAACTTATTTGACTGATAACTGAACCGATATCGATATATATCCCATTTTTCCCCCACCTAATTTTAGTGATCAAGTCTCTTCTGTAGTGGAACTAACATCATATTATGCATGCATACTCTTATCATGATGGCCTACCAGCAGGTGGAGACATGAAATACAATGCTTTTCAATGTATGTAATATTTACTCAATATGCAATATAAGAAAAAGCATGTTGGCCAATTCTGATCATCATTATCAGTGACATGCTGATATTATCGTGCATCCCTACCTTTAACAACTGTTTTGTGGAGCACATTGAGTCAGTATATCTTAATGAAATGTGTTGAACTTCACTCAACCTGCCTGAGCTATCTCTACCATTTGGTTTAAATACACTTTGTTTCTGTATGTCAATACACCCCAAGGAAGGCGCAAGTCAACACATGTTGGAGTACTTTTAATGCTTCTGGCCCACTGTAATAAAGGCCTTTTATATTGTTTAAACCACCTTAAGTGCCTGGACCTGGATCATTTATCCCTTTTTTTGAAACTAAGTCTTCCTTTTTTTCTTCTTGTTGAAGTATTCCCTTCTAGGAGCACTTTGATCTGAGGGATACCAGTAGTGCTCCTGCTACCCTTTTCTTTCATAAATAAGCCACAGGTCCAGTTTAAACCTCAGCTTCCAAGGACACAGCAATGGAGTTTAAGACACCTCAAGTACCAGAAAACACCGGTTCAAAGTTGTCTCTTACCTTGAACTGCAGCTAAGCTAATGACAGAGCAACAGCCCCTTTAGTCAGCAGTGAAAATGTGGGGAGAAAAAATACACTGAACAAAAATTTAAAAGGTAACATTTTTGTTTTTTGTTTCCATTTTACACAAGTTTAAGTTAAACATCTAGATTTTTTTATGCACTCAGATGATATATTTCTGTCATATTCTGGACGCAAATTTGTTAAAATCCGTGTTAGTAAGCACTTCTCATTTTCCATGATAATCCATCAACTTGGCAAGTGTGGCATATCAAGATGCTGATTAAACAGCGTCATTGCTTCACAGGCATGCCTTGAGATGGTCACAATAAAAGGCCACTCTAAAATGTGCAGGTTGGCCACACAACACAGTCATACTGATGTCAAAAGTGTTGAGGGAGCATGCCATTAGCATGCTGGCTGTAGGAAGGTCCACAAGAGCTGTTGCCCATGAACTGAATGTTAATTTCACTATCATAAGACATCTCCAATGTTGTTTCTGTGAATTTGGCAGTACATAAAACCAGCCCCAGAACTGCAGATTGCATAACCACACCAGTTCAGGACCTCTACATCCAGCATCTTCTGCAAGATCCTCTAAGACCAGCAATCTGGACAACTTATGCAACAAATTTCTGCATAAACCATCAGAAACTATCTTGGGGAAGCTCATCTGCATGCTCTTCATCCTCACCAGGGTCTTGACCTGAGAGCAGTTTGTCACTGTATCTGACTTGTGCAGTTGTGTGGTCCGTTGGATGTACTGCCAAATTCAAGGAAACATCATTGGAGATGTCTAATGATAGTGAAATGAACATTCAGCTCATGGGCAACAGCTCTGGTGGAAATTCCTGCAGTAAGCATGCCAATGGCACACTCCCCCAAAACCTGAAACATCTTTGTTGTGTGATAAAACTGCATATTTCAGAGTGGCCTTTTATTATGACCATGCCAAGGCACACCTGTGTGTTTAATCAGCATATTCATATTTCACGCCTGTCAGGTGGATGGATTCTCTTGGACCAGGAGAAGTGCTCAGTAACACAGATTTTAATACATTTGAGTCCAAAATTTGAGAGAATCTACTGAGTGCATAAAACGTCTTATTTCTTTAACTTAAACCTGCAAAAACAAAGTGTTCTATTTAAATTTTTGTTCAGTATAAATACAGTAACATACATTCACCCAACATAAGCACAAGGGTTGGACCAATACAGAGTTGAGTCATTTGACAATAATGTAATTCACGAATGATTTGATGGAGATTCCTCTAAGTATAGCTAGTTTTAAAATGTCTTATTAAGCTCAATTAATGTTTTAATTAGCTCTTTAAACACATTATTTACCATTCAACAGCTAGGGTGGATCACTCAACTTTAAAAAGCTGGTAAAAAAAACATTCATCTATGAAAACTTAACGTGTAATGTTGGCCCAGCTGCTGTTTTCATATGCTTTTCATACCTAACAGGATCTCCACTGGATATGAAAAATCTGCATCAGCCAAACCCTTTATACACTGTGTTAGTAGTGTGTAATATGTGAACATGCAGTCAACCCCGTCACAGCATAAAGAAGTTAGCACAGTAGCACACAGCAAGCACAGCATGCAGTAAATGTCGGACCTTAGGGGTCTGCTCTGGTGGGGGGAGGGGTGAAAGGAACCCCCCAGGGGGTGCCGTTCATCTTCTTTCCTAAACCTGTTGTCAGTGAATAAGAAAGAGAGCATCCAAGATGGACAGATTGACTCAGACTCCCACACTTGTTAACCACACCAGATTCAGGTAAAGCTGATGCTACAAAAACCCCATGAAAACCATTTCCTGCCGTCACAGATTTATACAGCTGCAGAATAACTTCTTACTTCAGTTATACTTCTGGTAGATAGGACAAATATTGCAGTTGTGTACCGTTAGTATTGCAGCATGGCTCTGTGGTCTCCCAGTTCATGGATCTCTGAACAGCTTTCTTCCACCGAGCAAAGCGGAACTCACTCTCTGTGAAGAGGGCAGTGAGACAGATAGGTCAGGAGAAGTGATACCATGCTTTTTTCCCCCAGCTTTTTCCGAAGGCATCCTGTCATGATTGTAACATCCACTAGATGGTAGCAAATTAAGTGTAACCTTCTGAGAACCTTCTTTTGGAGTTGAATGAATCTAGTTCAACTGGTTGAAGTGGCTCAAAAGTGCGTCACACATTTCTTCTGGGTCTTTTTTCCTTACCGTCACAGTTAATCTGAGGTTCATATTTCTCAGATGTGATGTGTGGGAGATGACTGGGTCTCAGGCTCCACACGCCCACCCCCTCTGCTGCTCCTGCTGCCATGGCTGCACCCAGAGCTGTGGTCTCCGACATGCTGGGTTGCACTGGACCAACGGGAGACAGACAAAAATTAAAAATATGTTGTGATCTGTTTCCTCAAAAATAGTAAATATAAATTTGGGAGATTTAATGCAATGAAATGCAAAAATGTTTTGAAGATTTTCCCTCTATGATTATCAAATTGTAGTTGGGCTTGATCCCTTGGTCTTCCACTTAGGCGCTGGAATAATCATCCAAGATTGGAAGAGTGTTGAAAGCAGATGTATCCTGGTATCCAGAACCCACTAATGGTGTAATGGTCATGGGTACACGGTTATGTACACACTGGTTAATATGTGCTCTTACCCTACTCTGGTACATCAAAGTCAACATTTCTGTGTGAGTGTGTTTTGTTTTAAATGGGACAAAAGTCAGAAGGGCAGAAGGGGTGTAAAGTCCAGGTTCAGGTTACTCAGGTTGACCTCTCTCTCGCTCGCTCTGTCTCTGTCTCTCTGTCTATCTATATAGACATCCATCCATCCATACATACATACGTATATATTAAATTTGGCTCAATAATAACTGTAGAGGTTCACAGACAACAGTTGTTATATTATTAGCTGAAGCAGTTTTACATTGTATGAATTAGCCTAGCAGCTAGCAGAGTTTTCCTCTAGTCATAACTTACCAAATAACAAGTATAATTTATACTTTTTCTCCCTCACCGTTGGTTAAAGTCACTACATCTCCTGACAGAACAGCACAGTGGAATTTTAGCCTGCATGCACATTTTTTCAGCAGAACATGTTTGAACAGAGCAGCTAATGTTGCAGCAAGAAGTTAGCGAAGTGAGATGCCTGACCAGGTTGGTAACGTTATGTCAAGTTTTCTATTTATTTTATCTTGTAATGGCAATGTTTACGTGTGGCATGTTAACCTGTATTTTCTCTGAAATCAAAAATATTTCCACATTGCTAATTCCAGAGTTAATAACGATGTCATTATCTGCCTGCTGCTGTTTGACAGTGACACAGAATTTCAAAATAAAAGTGTATCCTCAATGTTTTCACTTTCAATCGATTATAGATGGTTACACCCCTTGTGGCTATATGTATCATGCGTGTGTTATGAGAGTGCTCTTACCTACGGGAATGCAGAGTATGTCTGCCTGCAGCTGCATCAGTAACCTGTTGGACGTCATGCCTCCATCCACCTGTAGCTGCGTCAGAGGGATGCCGCTGTCCTGGTTCATCGCATCAAGGATCTGATACACACAATGTCCTCATTTAAACACACGCCAATTCCAACCAATACCATTCACATAAAACCCTAATCAGGGTGTTCTACACTTAACATAACCATTGTTTATATAAAGTTGGTGCTTTGGTATTTCCTGTTTTTAGTTCTTTTAAGGGATTACATGCTTTTCAGTTGGTTGTACAAACTATCACACACTGCTCACCTCTCTGGTCTGAAAGCAGACGGCCTCAAGAGCAGCAAAGGCCAAATGGTTCCTGTTGGTGAACTGAGTGAGCCCACAGATGATGCTGGACAACAAACAGAGGAAACAGATTCAATATACAAACTACAACGTTGTCATTAATGCCGATTGTTGAAATAAAATAAGATCTACTAATACATATTTTCATGCTTTCATGTTGCTGGCATGCCTTGGGGAACAAACGAAGAATCTATACAAGTACAGTAACTCTCTAGAAGTATCACATACAAGTATCAGATTATTACTGGGGCTTTGTTTTGTTGGTGTTTTTTTTTGTTTGTTTTTTTAACATAGCTTCTTTTATGGATTTGGCCTTAAATGTCTACACGCAAACATTTGATTTGATTTTAAAGAGTGCTTGCGTGGATGGGAATTTTTTGGAGAATGAAGGAGGGAAAAACCCTGTTTTCAAAAATACCCATGTGCGTGTGGACAAGGCCTAGATTTCTCCATTTCTCCTCATATCAGGGTCAGATTACAGTTGCCAGTTCAGACATGAGTTTGAGCAGCTGACTGTCTTACCCTCTTGCACTGGGCTCCCAGTAGGGGGCATAGAGCCCTGAGAAAGCCGGCACAAAGTAACAGCCGTAAGAAGTGCCTGCAGCAGCTGCTAGCTTCTCTGAATGAAACGGTTAGAAAAGTAAGAGGAGGAAGAGCTGGTGGTCAAACTCAAATATTTTCTACATCATATAATCAAAACACAATTAGGTTGCGACAGAAAGATTTTTTTATGAATGAGTAATGAATTTCACATAAGAACAGGGAAGATGCTACAGTGTAAGTACCAATCTCTGAGGAGGACTGCACGATGCCCATATTGTCCTTCAGCCACCGCACCACAGCTCCTGCGATGGCTACTGAACCCTGGGAGAAAAACATCAGACCCAAATCACATCAAAGCAGCAGGCTGGTACAAATGACAAACCAGGGTACACCATGGAGGACATTATCACAATACAGTGGCTGATTTAAGAATAAAACTGAATTTAAAAGGAATTAACTAATGAAAGCTTTCACACACCTCCAGCGCATAGCAAGCAGGCTCATCTTTCCCCAGTTTGTAGGCAACTGTGGTCAGCAGGCCGTGGTCTGACATCACAGGCTAACACAACAAACATTGTACAGAGTATAAAACGACAGAACAGAGGGCATGAACGGAATTTAAAATGTCCCATGTCTTATTTTCTTGGTCACAATGTCTTACCTTGGTCCCTGTATTTCTGAGCAGGAAGCAACCGGTCCCGTACCTTTGAATAAGAAGAATGGAGAAAAAATAAAGACAGATTAGACACCTGTGAGAGAATAACTGATGACTTTCTTCAAGACTCAAAGGGAAAAAAAAACATCACTCATAAGTAACTCTATGTCTGACTGATGGAGAATCTCAATTGTCCGTGGTTATTTAGGCTAATTATGACTTTTAAGTTAACAGATTATGAAGGAAATAAATAGGGGAAATGAATGAGCTCTTATGTGGCTGTTGCTCTACAGACTAACTAGCCCCTTTCACTCTGCCTCTTCAAGGCAGGAATTTCACACCATTATGCTGTCTGGTCATTCTGTATAAAAAGGTACAAACTCGGAGAGGGGGCACAGAGTTGTCTCGCTTTAAGGCAGGCATCAAAGGTAGTAATACAGCCGAGGTCTGTATTAACTGGACAGCTGGCGGGATAGGATCATGGGCAGCATGAGTGTGATGTTTTCATGGTGTGTCCCCCGCCACGGGGGATTTAAAAAGTAGCTGGTGGGCAGGTAGCAGCTAACTCAAAGAAGAAAAACAGCCGCCAAAAATGTCTACAAGTTGGGAAACAATGAGGTCAACGAGATCAGCCACCATCAGGGGTGGCAAATGATTGTTGTTGCTATGTTAATGCCATTGTCATTGTTTAGAAAGCCCTGTTGACGCCTATGTTATATGTCACACTAAAGGCTGACGCTATTGCAGGGCTCCAGACTGCAACCGAATGGTCGCATTTTGCAATCATTTTTGGAGTCAGAGCGAGTATTTTTTACAACTACTCGCTCGTGCTGTTGTAAAACAAGGGGGTGAGTCCACCAATGTGGGCTAATGTGTGTGAGAGGAGGAAAGTCCGGAGAGTGTGATTAGTTAAGTGCGAGGGTCTACACTCCTTAGTAGGCTCTTTCAAGATTAACTGCGCCTCGTCTGGAAAGTGGACGAGAGCAGGCGGCTGCAGCAGGAGGCGCTGACAACAAGCTGCGGTCAAGTCAGAGGACTTCAGTTTCAGCACGTAGTGTGACCGAATTTACCGTCATCATGTAAAGTCTGCAAGGGCAGAGACTGCAAGTGGCTGATGGACAGCCCTTGAAACTGTTTTACTTGTTGCAGTGGCAACGTTCAACTATTGCTGCTGTCATATTCATTTATATGTTTTATAAGTTGATGAACAGTCCCTACTTTTTGTGACTAAGCAAAAATGTATCATACATTTCTATATAACATACAGGCAACACAGGAATGTTTGTAAATAAGGACAGGACTATAACTCAATAAATTGGGTGTTGCTTGCATGAGAAACCTTCTTTTGTTGTTTTCCAGCCATTTTTTGCCTATTTCACTGCACAGCCTGACAGGCTGCAAAAATAAAATGCATTTTCAGTCCCTCTACAGCCGATACTTATACATATCTCTGTATCATGATGTGGTTGAACATAATTTCTGACCTAAACAATTTAAGTAGCATTTTAATAGACCTAGCGATCAATAACTATTTTACACATGCATAAGGTTTTTCTTTGGCAGTTCAAAAACCCAAAACATCACGTCTGTATTGCAATGAAATGTGGGTTATTTAATCAGTGAAGTCTGCACCCCAAGTGGAAGTCTGCAGAAAGTCTACTTGAGGCCCCTTGTGGACTGGCTGAATTGTGGATTTAGAGCCCTCAGCACTCCTGCACTTCCTGGGAACATGCCGCAAAGTCCATGAGTCTGCACGTGCAGTGAAGTATGGACATTTGGGCTGAATCCAAATGAATCCAAACTCCTGTATCAGTTTGTTCTCAGTCTCCAATTATTGTTATTATGATAGATTAATTTATCAAAAGGCTTTACAGGTGATCTGTAATTTATGTTCATGGTTCAAGCTCCATTTCACATGAATTCTCATGTAAATCAGCATCATATCAGTTTGCTGCTGCAGAGCAGACCTGTCCCCTCAAATACGCAGGCTAAATTAGTTGTGTCTGACTGTAAGGTTAATATTTTCAAAGGAAAAAAAACAAGACAACGGCTTTCATTAAAGATCAGTCAGATACAGTCAGGGCTTCACATCTGTACAGATGTTATTTTGAGAATCCTCCCACTGACCACAAGTCTTTGTGATGCTAAATACTACAGTCCAATGTTAATATATAATAGACTACAAAAAGTTTATAATACAGTTAAAATGGCCAAAAATGTGAATAACTGCGTTGCAGGACGATTTAGGGCGTGCCCCTAAATTTTCTGCTTGTGCTCCTAAAATTTTTCAGTCAGGGGCTACAGTGCGCCTACCAATCACACATAGTGTTTCAACTGATACCCATTACTTTTAGCTAAGCTAACTAATGCTATTTCAACTGTTAATGCTAGTGATGACGTAACATGTAGCATCCCATTTCCTAGGTTCCTAGGTGTGGCTCGGTGTGGGAGAATTTGGATTAGGCCAGGAAGATTTTGAAGTAAGAAGTAGATTTAGACACATATTAATGAGATGATAACTCTTTGAAAATAATGATTTAAGGTAGTTTGTGTCACTTCAATTCAACCTGACTTCATTTTGAAAACTGTATGCAAATAGTTACATTATGCAAATTAGCATGTGACATAATGTAGCTACTCTTGAATCAAGCTTTAACAGCTTGCCATAGACAATAGTTGTAAACACTGATCATGTTTTAATGCATTTAACGTTTTAATCTTGTGCAATGTTGGAACTCTTGTGTCAACACTAAAAGGAAGGATGATGAAAAATAAAACTATTACACCACATAAAGCACAATTACTGACAAACACTATTGTAGCACGCTAACTGTAGCAAATGGGTAAAATACAGGAAATGGCTGACTTACGTGTTTTTGGCCTGGCCTTCCTGGAAACACATCTGACCAACCAGGGCAGCTGACTGGTCACCGAGACACTGACAGAGACATGGGCACAGTTAGAGGGCCGTGACACACACCAAAATCACCCAGAGTCTCACACTAAAAAACAGACATCAAGCTCTTATCTAAAACTAGAGCCTGATCAATACTGCCTTTTTGACACTGACACCTATATTTCACAATTTAAAAAAAAAAAAAAAAAAAAATTAGCAACAGTGTACCAGCTTTACTGACTTCTTTAACATAAAACGTTTTTTTTAAGGATGCCTTAAAGTAGGTTATTAAATAAGTGTGACCAAGATATGGACTGACAGGAGATTTTACAGTTGAAAAATTAAGTAAATTTTTTACTGTAGACATAAATGGAAATCATATTAAATTACAGCAGCAACTATAAACAACAAATACAACAAATTATATGAGAATAAGATACAAACATATCAAAATACGGCCAATATAATTATAATAAATTATACTAAACTAAATAGTAAATATTAATTTGACATTTGCACTGTACAAATGCCTTAAGCTCAGTCTGTTGTTACTTTCACAACACAACAGATCTGTGAGAGGCTAATATTAGCCTGAGTAAAGTATCTGGGGCTGTCTCTCAAATGCTTGAAGGAAAGCCACGTGTAACAAACACCACAGCACAATGACACCTACAACACTAAGCACAGACAGATGTCACTGTTCTCAGAAAGTTACACAACATGCAAAAGTCCTTACCCCAGAGATTGGAACTCCTGCAAGAGAGCCGGATTTCTGGTGAGAAGACAGAAACACACCCATGTGTTTAGAGTTTGGATAAACTACAGGATAATGCTAACTGTTGGGTAATTGAGTTACAAAACACACAGCAAGGGTAAATACTACAGTGTGTTTACACTGAAAACATCTGGATCAAGCAACAGGACATTGTAGGGAATCAGACATATAAAATAGGCCAGTGGTTCACGAACAGGTGTCAAGGGAACTCCGGTAGTCCCCAGAAAAATGGGGAATTGCTAATTTTCGTTATTTTATTCACTATAGAAGTGCGCCTAATGTGAGTAAGAATCATTATAGTGAGTATTCAGTTCATAGGCTTCATATCCCCACTGTTGCTATCAACTATAGACCAATTCAAACTGGAAAACATTAACATATAAAATGGGTAATGGGTCCCTTTGTATTCCTGTTGGAATGTTTTGCAGTGCATGTTAATGACAGCTCACAGGAAGTAGACATGGACCCAAGCTTTATACTAGCAAGGAAATGCCAGTAAATGATCTTTGTGTGTCCTTGTGTTCCAGTCTGTGTCCCCTCTCTAAATTCAGAGGTTTTTGTTTTTTGAAGAGAAACTGAAGTGAGTAAACAAAGAGCCAAAGAGACAAATACAGACTACTACTGTCTGCTGGTATGGAGAGTTATTTCCTCTCACATGGGCACAGAACACACATGCTGGTTGGCCACTGGCTGTAGTCTTTGTGGTGTATTCATGCCCAACTTTGACACAGGTAAGGTGAGGCGACGCAGCAGTCGGCTTTCACTAGTTCACTAGTTCTTTGAAGTCAGTTCGGTGTGTCTGACCCTTTAGACTCAGCGCAATGAATAGTTTCACTTTGATTGTGCCTGATGTTCTGGTGCTCCATCTGTGCCCAGCGTACGCTCTGCACTCCGAGTGTGCAGCATGAATAACTGAATGGTATATATATTCCAACAACACCTAATAAACAGTCCAGCTCCAAAAATAGAAACTCAAAATGTGGCGGCCGATGTTTTAATCATGGCGGGCTGCTACAAATAAATTGATGTGTGGGAAACCCTGGAATCAATTTTGGGGTCCTTGACATGAAAAAGTTTGAGAACCACTGAAAAAGGCAGTACCTACCTGTAGCCAAGAGTGCAATAATCCAATGTAACAAAAACATTCATGTAATAAAATAGTATCATAGGATAACAATTTGCTTATTTATGTTACAGTGATCATAAAACACTATTATTTTATTATTACACTACTAATGATTAAGTACTTTATCAATGCGAGTTTCCAGCTTATTGTAATAAATCCCCATGATGCTACATACTGCCCAAACAGGAAAAAAAAAAGTCATCAACGTGACAGCAGAGCAGTTTTATTACCTATTAGGAACTTGATTGCGTTATCATCTATAACAGCACCATTAGGTGCACACAGGTAATCATGCCATTGGAGGTTATCACCTTAACAGCTACTTTTGTGTGATGCCAGTAAACACCAGTGCTGCACCAGGTTTAACATGTGTATCTCTAGTTGAAAGAATCTGAATATTTTAATATACGATTTGGGACTTTTCCACTAAAAGTGCAGTTGCAATCGTCAGGATCATACTGCACAGTGAAGCAAGACTAGTAACAGAAAAATAACCTGTCTTATGAGGGTGTCTCTTCCATTACCACTACAAATGTAGGTTTGGGAAGATGTGGTAGAGGCCTCCAAAGAGTAAACAATAACTACATTCTGAGGTAAGAGGTAAGAAAACCTGACCCATAAATACAAGGAAAACAAATAAAGCTGCCACGTTGTTGACCCTTGGACTGCAGGCCAAGGTGCACGTTGCATCAAATGTTTAACTTGAAAGACTGTGTTGTTGTCAAGAGATAAGATTCAAGCATGGACAAACAAAGACACACAATAACAGAATCAGTGTATTGCTGAGCTAAGTATCCCTGAAACACACACACACACACACACAACACACACAAAAACACAAACACACAATGCAGTCACGCCATCTGCCAGTGTGATAAAGCAACATGGAATCTTATCAGGCCATTTATCTCAATAAGGAATTTTATTGAGCCTGTGCTCTGTTTACTGTAACTCTGAAAATCATAATAGTGACCCGTAAATCCAAAATCCTCTAACACTGATGTGCACACTTGATAAATATTCAAACTCATACTGCAGCAGTGATAAAACCTCACACGAGCAAGCTTTATGCACAAGTTATGCATGAAGCTTGCTGTGTTTAAACTGGGAGAAATACAGTATCACCCATTTTTAAAGATGCTGTCTGGAGTATATGTGCCTGTTGCCATGTCTGATATCAGATCATCAATACGAATTCTTGATATAATTTTACATGGGTCATGACTTTAAAAAAAAATCCTCTAAATTGGCCAGAACCCCAAAGTAACACATTTTGATAGGCTGCACATATTGACAGAACTCTGGCAGCTGAGATGCAGCAGGAAAAAACAGTGTGCAGATCAGTGTATTTTCACATCTAACTCAGTGAGTAAAGAGTTTATTTTGACCAAACCTGAGTCTCTGATTGTTAGAACAGTGGAAAGACTAAGGCTGCATTCACAATAAATCAAGGTAAAAAATGCAGAAACCTGCGGCAAAAAGTTGAGACAGATTCAACTTTTGGAGAAACGCAACTCAACATCATGCTGTGGTGGCCAATCATGTATCAGACTGTAAAGTCCTCCATGGGGTCAAGTATTACAGTCTCTTTCTATTGTTAAATATTATAGTGAGTAAAAGATAAAAAGTAGCCTATGTATTAACAGCTCCTGTGTACTATCCTACAAGGGAGAACACTAACCTTGTTTGTGTGTGCAGACACGTGTGCCTTTTGTGGCAGTAAATATTGTACAGTAATGATAATCAAAAGGAATTCTAAAGATTTTATAGGCTGGTATAAACAAACTCAGTGGCTGAGATGAGGAGATCAGCTTCCTCTCCACCCTCCACTTTCCCACAAATGGGCCATTAAGTGTAGGATGCACAGTTATATCAGGCCGATACATTATCAGTGGATAATGGGAAATTTCAGTTATTATGTTTTATTTCGTTGATAAAATATTTGATATTACAGAGCCAATTTGTTTTCATTTACTTAATATGGAAAGCATCTACACACCCCGACATAGTGGGTGGTGGCACACTTTTGATGTTGGTTTGTGAGCCGCCATTAAACACAGAAGAAGAGGCACAAGTGCATCCAAACATGCACACACTTTTTCCACTCTGCCAGAGGAAGACAACATGAGGGGAGTCTGAGTAGCATCAGAGGGTCATATCAAACACAGAGCCTTTAAGCAGTTCCAACAGCCTCACACCAAAAAGCCACTAATAACCATTAGGTAACACTAGCCATGTGATACTAAGTTAGCTCTATCACTATGTGTGTGTGGGTGGACTGTCTTCAGCTATCTTCAGCACAGAGCTCACAAAACCCGCAGCAGATGTCTTCAAGTGTCTCTGTGGGAAGGCGCAGGGACTTAACTTTTTGTTTCAGTTACTTGTGTATCATACATTGACATGTCTGTTTTTACAGATTATGTTGAAGCATTCAATTTCAATTCTTGGGCAAAGTACTCCATAAAAACAAAAACATGTTTGAAAAGTTTTTTGATATACTTAACAAGAATACATAGATGAAAATTTGAGGAGTCAGAACTGTCTTAGTTAGTGAAAGAGAGAAACTTGGATTGGTACCTTTGTATTTTCTGTTTAATAAGGAAATAAGTGTAAGAATAGGCTAAACTGGAGTTTTCAAACAAGTGAGTGTGACCCACTTTCCAGCTCCACTGACGTGTTGTCACCATAACAACTAACAATATTCAACAGTATATTTTTAATAGTCAAATGACCATGACAAACCCTTCAGTGTCCTTTCTATTCATTCTACTTAAATGGAAATACTTATCAAAAATTCACAAGTAAATTCCAAAGGACACTAGTATTTGAGCCAGTAATCCTTCGCAACGTCACTACCAGCACTATCAGTACAGTATCTGTTGTTGTGATATTACACACAGTATCTCATCACATTTTATGGCCACATTCCCCAGAATAGTTTATGATTATATTATATATAATTTACACAGATTTACAACCCTGTACTTCTTAAGTAAGTTGAAGGAAACACGGGTCAGGTCTCATCAGATCGATCTCAAAACACAAACAGTATTACTGAACTGATCAGACAAACTGTGGTTGAAAACGATAACTGAGCCTACCATACAGCCGTATATTTCAGAGGAGCTCCTGACTTTGGGGAGGATTTCCATCGGGACATCAAAGTACCTTGAAGCAGCACAACAGCAAATCAGACATGACGATGCAGGTTTATGATGTACCATACATAACAGATAGGTAAAGGGAGTGTGTTTTCATTAAGCACAGTCTGTAGTGAAACAGTGATTTGAATTGGATTGGATCAAGGACCGACTCAGTTTTAAGTTTGAAGGTGGACATAGCACTAACATCAAGTTCAAGCTGAAAGGCGTTTAAATCCTGTGGGCTTTTCTTGAAAACAAACAGTTATGTTTACGTTGAGCACTTCCGTGTGAAAACCAAATGTTTGTGTGCTCAAGGCCTGTATGTTCATGCTAAATAAATGGTCTACTGTGTGGGTGTGTGCGCTTGCATGTGTTTCTCTACCTGCAGAGTTCAGGATCCCAGTCCATGCTGTGAATGTTGAAGAGCATGGTGCGACTAGCATTTGAGACGTCTGTACAGTGGACCCCTCCATTCTTTCCCCCTGTCAGGCACTGAGGAAAGACAACACTGGACTGAGTGTGCATCAAATGTTGTAAATAAAACAACATGTATACATTCAGAGAACATGCAAATGGTACTGAACGCAATTTAATGCATGTATTAAACTTTCTGCAGCGCAGCTATGTACGTTCTAGAGAAAAGTCTGTTAAGAATGATTCAGAGGTTTTCACTTTATTCTCAGCTCCATGGGCTTGTGCACAGTGTCAGGCTTTGAGCAGCTCTTACCCAGATGATCCAGGAGTCCACTGTGCCAAACATGGCGCGCTCATTCCGTACTGCCTCTCGCACTTTATCCACATTGTCCAGCAGCCAACGCAGCTTCACTGCACTGAAGTAGGTACTGATGGGAAGGCCTGTCTTGTGCTGAAGAGTGAATAATAGAAATACAGATTAGAGTATTTCTTTGGAACAAAAGGAGTGTTGCCCTTACCAACTGAGCTGAGAAAAACCTCACCCTGAAGATGCACATATCCGAAAATCAAAGGGAAAACCACACACACTGTTGTGTTCTCTTATAAAGTTAAGCTAAATGACCATCAAGACTTTTAGTTATTCAGAATCAAAGGATTCCATTCATCAATACATACATTTTGTATTTCTACATCTATGATCTGTTGTCCATGTCTCTCACCTTGAGGTGGTTCTTGTTTTGGCCCGGCGCTTTGTCGATGAGAGACTCTACTGTTGACTGTGTGCGCAGGTCCAACCAAACTACAGACAAAGCAGAGGAGGACAGCTTACACACAAAAACCTAAAATATCTAGATTAGACAGAAATTTCTGTATGAGTTTAATCCATTCACAAAGGCATTGCCTCTCGAGAGGTATTTCACCATAAAACTAAGACAAAGTTCTACCTGCAACCTCTTGTCACAGGTTGCATGTTTGACAGTAGCAAGAAATTCAGTCAAAAAGGGATATTTATCTTCTCACAATGTTTCATTTGTATAATTCCTGGGGGTGTAAAGAGGTGAAATTTCACAAAATTCCAAAGATGGAGAAAATTCAGAGAAAATAAACCTACTTTCATGTAGCAGAACATAATCTGTTTCACGTTATTCTTGTTCTGACCCCTTAAGTTTTCTTTTTTCAGACTCCAGAAGCAAATTGCTTCAAATCTATTTTTACTCTCACTTTCACGTGACATATCTGCTATCTGAAGTGCATTCATAAAATCCAACATTTGTATAGATTTCTCTTCACATTGATGTGAAACTGAAAAAGGATGCGTGACATTTTTGCCTGACATGTTTGCTGGAATTACTGCAGACACTGAGAATGTAAGTAACACACACATTGCACCGATTCTCATAGGGATTGTCTCAGTTTCCTACAATCAAAAACATGTGCCATCAGAATAATTTCAAAGATTTCATAATCACTAATCACTTTTACACATAGTGGCTTCAGACAGGATTACTGGGCAGTCTTGCCTCTTGAAGAACTGCTGTGCACACTGAGGTTGACAACCCACCCCTGACACATCCCTCACATTCCATGCTAACAGCAACCAAGAGCCATTCCTCGCTTTCAGATAAACTAGCCTGTCAAGCTGGAACTAGAGGCCTTAGTAGGGGGATGAATGAAACCCTCTCTAGCAATGTTAGCTCATAGGCCTTGAGTAGGCGGAGACTGCATGTGCTCAGCTGCTACGCTGAATCACAAACACATGGTGCTGGGTGGTGGGGCAGGGACAGACATGACACAGGACAGGATCTGATGTAACCTAGTCATGCGCTGTGCTGGTTCCCAGATGACATAATCTTCTCTTTTGCTCAATTAAAGATGTTACAACTTCAGCTTACAAAGTCATGGAGTGTTGAGTCTGACAGCGATGTCCAAAGAAGTTGTAGCAAAGGGAATCTTTACAACAATACATATGGTTGGTTGAATTGAGGGAGGGTGACTTAAGTTGGTTCATGTCTGTATATTAATGCGTTAAATTCATTCCTTTTTATTTTACACAGCTTCACTTGACCATTTAAGTACTTTGTACAGTGTATATTTAAAGGGCCTTAATTGTAGTCATTAAATATTACATAATTTTTATTTAAAGAAGTATATCTGACACTGATACTTGTTCATTCAGATGAATAATGTACCCACCAATAGCGTTGTAGAGTGGCTCTCCTGTCACCTTGTCCCAAACTAGGGTCGTCTCTCTCTGATTGGTCACTCCCACCGCTGACAAAACAACAACAATGTGAATGTCAATAAAACCCCCACCTCCACCCATCCCTCTCTGTTAGGTGTGGCTAACAGTCTGTTTTTTGTTTTCTCATCCAGCTGCAGGCGTAGGTGTGGTCAACACATCTCCACCCATAGCTGTCCCACCTTTTATGTTGGAAATGTTGATGTTGAGCTGGCAGAGTTTGTCACAGGTCCTCTCCATGCACTCATACACAGACTGCATTATCTCTTTGGGGTCCTCCTCCACCCAGCTGATTGAAACACAAATACAAGCATGTAAACACAAAAACCTCACAAGTGTACAAAGACGCTTGGTCTAGTGAGATACAAACATGTTAACAAAATCATCTACATACAGTGGAGTTGTGGGCGGTTGCTGTTACCCACTACCTATCACAAGTCTGTACTGTGTTAGGTGGTTTGAGGTTATGGGGTAAAAAGCCTTTCATCTACACCATATATAAGAAACTATTCTGATGGATCGAAGTCTTTCTCAGAAGTTCTCAGTTTAAGCAAACAGCTCTTCCTCTGGCTGATGTAATCTTCAATATAATGAGCAATATGACCTCAATGGATCACTGGTAGCTTCAGGATACGTGCACTGAGGCAAGAATATGCATGATTCACACTTTGCTTGTGTTTCTGTTGCAAAAAAACAGAGCAAAGAGTAAAATTTGCTGAATGTCAAGGTTTCTTCGGTTTCAGGCGAAGTCTATTATTTACACAGCCTACAATGTGTCTCACATGGACTTTAACAGGTTGTGCCATATATGTGGCTTCTAGTACTTTGTACAGGGTGTTCATCAACCACATTTTAGATGCAGTAGACATTAAAATCTGAGCCTGTATCAACCAACCAGCTTTTGTGTGTACAATAAAATAAGAGCTGGACCTTAGACTCAATTATGTTAGAAACATCAAATAAAGTAAGAGATTAATCTAAATGCAGTTAAATTGTAACCTCAGTAAACCATTTAACAAGGGAATTCAAGTCAAGGGAAAAACAGAGGCAAAGTAGTGACAGTCTACTCATTTTTTGTTAGCAGTGTGGATCTAAAACCATGTTTTCATTTTTCCTGGTAACTTAAGTTGGTTAGGTTTCCACCATTTTCAGAGGTATTCTGTATAAAGTATATTTAGCAAATAGCAAAAATACTGACTCTGTCTATCCACAACATTTACTTTTCATACAACTGGTTGTACCAGGAGAATATGATTCTGATGGCTTTAAGAGTTCTTTAGAAGCTCAGCATCTAAGATTATTGTGTTATTGTGAAGTAGAGCTGCAACAATTTGTTGATTCATCAATTAACTGTCTGTGGGAAATGGTAACAGTTAAATTAACTGACAGATCCTAAGTCCCACCCCTCTTAGTCACTGTTGCGAGGCCAGACAAGCTTTTCAAAAAGACACATGGCGATGCCAGTTTTACTAAGCTGGGTTTTTATTAGATAGTTTCTGGGCATTGGGAGACACAGCCTTAAGAAACAGACAGCAAGTCTGTAATGGATGATATTCACGATGTTAACTGTATTGAAAAAGGCAAACCAACGCAAACTGAGGCTTTAGAAGCCTTTAGAAGTAGAGACCAAGGATGACAAAACTATCAGTCAACATTGCTCCTGGATAGGTATGCTCCTTTTCCCCTCCTGGGATCAGTGAAGTTCTTTTTGTATTTATTACTGAATACAGACCATGGTGCTGACCTAACGTTAGTCTCTCTTAACTGTAAAAAAAAATTGTATAGTATAGAGTCAAACTTTTAACTCCGCCCACATTGAGCATGTTTGATTTACACAACAGCACCACCTGAAAGTGGACATCAATACTTCATTAAGTACTAATTTATGAACACTGCAGCCTCCAAAATATACTACAACAGGATATTTGTAATATCATCATAATCTGTAATGAATCATTGGCTGCATATAAAGAAATAATGGTACAATTGCAAATTGACCGCTTGGTTCTCTGGTGAAAGAGTGGAGTACGGCATGGGTCAGCTGGAGGCTGCATATAGGCTGTGGGATAGAGCTGAGGGCTGAGAGTCAAGCCGGGCCCATGGAGCATGCTGGAGGTTTCACCGGGGCTGAGGGGGCAGTCATAGCGGATGAGAGGAGAGCCAAGGCCTGCAGAACATGTTGAAGGCTCCATATCCAGGGGTGTGTGGACTCCTGCACTCCCTCTGGTTCTCCAACATGCTCTGCTTGCCCTGGCTCTCCTCTCACCTTCAGCAAGGCCCTCTGACCCAGGCTGTGCTCTGCTCCTCTGCCAAAGAACCAAAGGGAGAGAGGGATGGCCGCGGGATTCGTGCCCACGGCCCTCTTTTGGCTTTCCTCAGTGTCCACATACATGTCTACATGTGGAGCTGACTGTTTTCTTTGGGATTTTGTAGGGCGGGACTTGACTAGACAAGTAATGGGATCCATACTAATGCATCATTCATCACATTCAGTGCTCCATATTGCTATTTCCCAGGCTATTGTGGTCATATTCTGTGGAGATGGCCCGTATTGCACCATTGTCCCTCCACATTACTCCTGCATATGAGACTACTCAGCTGGGAGGACAGCAGACAGCGCCCTTGGTGACAGACTTTCAGTTAACAGCTGTAGCTATTTGAATTCAGCCAGCACAATCCCCAGCTCCCTGCTGGATCTGCAAGCTTCTGCTCCTGGCATTACACAGGTCAGGCCCAATTCTACTGCTGGCCACCAGCCCTCTGTGACCCCCAGTGCTGGGTTAGCGGGTTAGCTCTGGCTGAATTCAAGATGCCTCAGCAAGTCCATCTCCGCCTCTCCAGATGTGCTAGCCATTCTCCTCACAGCAAAGGTAGTCTCAGAGTGAGGCCAAGAGAAACTGCAGGGTAGCAGCTAGCTAACTAACCAAAGCCCTAAATTGCACATTGCAGATGGGGGCTTCTCACTGTTATTGGAGCATGGGCTGAAAAGGGGTGGGGCTTCGTAAAAGCTAACTGAAAAACAATTGTCTGATTAATTTATAATGAAAATGATTCATTGGAGCCAACCCTGTTATGAAGTTCAAGGAACTCACCCCTCCTTGGGGAAACTCTGGTTGATCTCTACTTGGTGGTGACTCATCAGCTCAGCTGTTTTTGCATTGAACACCTGTGGAGAAATTAAAGTCATGAGAGACCAAAAATATAAATAAAGCAATGCTACATTCAATGGCTACAGGGGTGTCCTTGTGAAAATGTTAAAGTTGTCTTTGTAAGACAACCCATCATTTGGCACAATACACTAGTGGAACAGTGACGGGAAGTTTTATTTGACCAGTGATACATTACAACACAGCACACAGTGGTGAGTGATTAAAAAAAATAAAAGAAAAGAAAGAGTGCATGAGATGATGACTATTATTACTGGCTGGATTTTATCCAGCTACACTGAAGGCACAGCTACTGGCAAGAATGTCACTCCAATAAAGAAGGCTCCCTATTACAGAGGTGGAAAGATTTAACTCAAGGCTACATGGTTGTGGCTTGCAGTCAGATGGAAGTCAGCATTTCTTCTAACGAAATCTTAATGTGTGTGTGTAGTAGGCCTGTCACGATAACAAATTTTGCTGGGCGATTAATTGCGTCAGAAATTATTGCAATAAGCGAAAATATTGCGTAATATTGGGCTTTTAAGACCATTTTTATTACTGCTGCAATTTTGCTGTTTTAGAACATTTACCTTGAAGGACATATAACCCACAAGCAGTTTCTCACCTCACTGCAACTTTGAACTCTTTACCCTTTAAGATCCTCTCACAGCTGTAAAGACTGGGCAGACACACTGACACAAGCAGGCTACAGCCTAACACGCAAAGAGGTAACATTCGGTTGAAGTCACACAGTTGGAGAGCAAATAGGAACATCCTCACCCCATCAGAAAAGAACAGACCATATGACTGGACTAGTTATAGCAGGACCTAATATTATAATATTTAAGGTCTACAAATCTGGTAACACAGAAGGCATTCACAGAACAACAAGTTCAATTTACTCTGTTTCCCAAGTTTTAGGTTGTTAACTTGATCCAAATAACAAGTCATGTATCATCATAGCTAGAGTGTTACTGATCCAAAGTAAGTTTTCGTATGATCATTGTCATATTATTTATTTCAACACTACCAAGGGGTTAATCATTATCATGTATGACTAGAGATGTGTTCACTTACTGTCCTGTGTGTCCTGCAATGAACCTCACAAACAACCGTCTTGGTTTTAAGTTTAACTTCTGGCCTAAATTACATTTTCTGTGCTTGACCAAGGCCCTTGGCCTTTGGAAAGACATCCTAGAACCATGTTTCACAGACCCCTTTGCTGTGGGCATCCATAATTTTTGACCACATGAATTTAAAATATATTCCCTAGCATCATGAAAAAGAGAGCATTAAAGTATTTCTTAACAGATTATGCTTCAAAATGTAGGTGTTTTTTCTCATATGAATTGCTCACAAACAACACAAATGTAACCATGTTCTTAAACAGGGTCTGCGATATGAATAACTTAGACTTAATGTTATTCAGTATTAGCCTTCGTACATTTCAATCAAGTAAGTAAAAGCAAGTTTCAATGTTATGTTCTGAATTCTAGACCAAACACCAGCCGAACATGGACTCCTTTTGGTCTCAGTTCGTCAATTGAAAAAAGCTGTCAGATTTCGCAGATCTACTCAGGCTTAAAAAATCCTGTCTGTCTACTCTTTGTTGCCTACGGTTTCTACAGAGCTTCCGACTCCTGCATTCTGCGCCAAGTCTGAATCTTCCAGCTGACCTACTTGAGGAAGCCCAATTTTATTCACAATGGATCACTAAACAGGATTCATATTGGGGTCATTTCCATGCCAACTCACCTAGAACTCAGAACTTTTCCCACACACACACACACACGAACACACACACACAAAAAAGTGAAAATTATGAAAGCCGTGGAACCCTGCAAAATCCTACAGCTCTACTCTAAATACTTCTAGCTATGAATTTTTGAAGTTTGGCCCTCTGAGCTAGTTTTTGCAATTCTTTGTATGAGCACTCTAAGCCTCAGTCCCCAACAGCTTATTTTTCACTGGATTGGGTTGAAATTTGTACTGAACATTTAGGAAACTCTCAGGATAATTTGCAACATGTATTCATAACTAACAGAGCAGGGCCCCATGATCTCACTATCACACCAAACTGCTTAACGATGAAATTGATTACAGTTGCACTCTTTATTTCCGAGTATGTTGGAATCCAGTGACCCGCCCAAACCTGTTTCATCTAGTATGCAACAAACCAAAGCCGTTACAAGCACTAACTTACAAAGTTTCTGAGCCCAAACTTGTTCAAACTTACGAATGGGTATCATTTTAAAAGTTACGATACCTGTACCAATACCAGTACCCTTAAAGTGATACCAAAGTTGAGAGTACTTCATTTTATTTTGTCTTTTCTACTTCGTTCAATACCAGTCATGCGAATGGAAGCAATAAATTGAGTAAAATGCCACCAGTTGCCATAGACCTGTAGTATAGCCATACTTTCAAATGTTTTGGTTGTATCTCAGGACACTGAATTGCCAACTCCATCAAATACACTGACGTCAACTTGACCACACCACAGACTGTATGGGTTGTAGGCGCTGCAGTAATTGGCCAATCATAGGTTTCACTGAATCGAAGAAGGCCTGTGATGATTGGCTGAAAGCAAAACCATACAAATTGTATGTTTTTTCAAGATCTAGGGTCAAAACAGGTTGAATGGAGGTATGGTTTGACTACAGAAGTTTTGGTACTACTTGGTACTGGGTTGTTTTGGTTCGACACCTCAAAAGATATTGAGCACTGATAAACAGTCCTTCTCAACTAGTATCACACAGAGACTGAAAACCTCCAGGTCATCACGGTACAGAAGTCTACCTGTGATATAAAACCACTGAATGTAATATTATAGCAAATGAAAAGTACAAAAAAATAGCTATTCTCAAAAAAATATTAAATGATGAAGGAGTAATATGTTCTATGTATCTGCAATGAATATTAACACTTTCCCATTGAGAAGTTTCAAGGAAATCAAAATAATCCTTATTGGTAAATGTAAGTATCTTAAAAGGTGTGTTTTTCAGCTCCAATGTTATATTCAGCAAGATCTTTGGCATTTATTTTTTTTATGCAGGACTGAATTACTTGTGGATGTGACAGAACTACTTGCATACTACACACAATCAAAATTTGGTTGCAAGACAGTGAAATCATTTGGAGCATGTTTACATATTATGGCTCAGAGGTAGAGCTGGTCGTCCACCAATCGGAAGACCAGCTGTTCGATTCCCAGCTCCTCCAGTCTGCATATCGAAATATCCTTGGGCAAGATACTGAACCACAAATTGCTCCTGATGATGCTTCCATAGGTGTGTGAGTGTGTTAAAAACTGAGTAGCAGGTGGCACCTTGTATGGTAGCCTCGGCCACCAGTGTATGAATGTGTGTGTGAATGGGTGAATGTGACTCGTAGCGCAAAAAGTGCTTTGAGTGGTCAGATGGCTAGAAGGCAGGTCCATTTAACATTAAAGGTTCTTCATTTAAGTATTTAAAAGAAAGTTTTATTTTATAATTGATTGCTGTAAACATTCAGCAGTATGTGAGTGTAGGGTTTTGCAAAGTCCCATGAATTTAATATAAGCCTTCCCCCGTTTTTTTCCCCCAACAAAGTCCATTCCACAAGCTGGGAGGTCCTATGGTCAGAAAACACTGACCCTTGTATGGATTAAAATGTACTGCAGTGTAAAGCTGCACTACACTGTCTGTATTTTCAGCTATAAAGTTTATTCATTAGGCTATCTAAAGTGAAAGGTTTCAATAGTATTTCTTGGGCCACAATCATCTAAACGATGTTACACTACTTTTCCTAAAATCTTTGAGAAAGTGACTTTTGCAGACTGTTTTGCTGTAAATTAGCTGCTATTTGACTGACAGGCTCATCTAATAATAGCAACTGTATTTCATAACGCGGCAATAATGACTAACATTGAACATTTAAAATGTGAAGCTCTTAATAAACTCGATTCGTGGTGCATTAGCTGGTTTAATATTTAATCTTTTAATTTGATCCCACTGCATGCTATATGACATTTTGAGCCCAAATTTAAAGGGCCAACCTTCTCTGCTAACAGTTAGCACACTAATACTCTGTGAGGATGAAGTGAACACCATCTTTTGTATTTTACTGTAACACCGACTGCTCTCATACAATGTGCTCATTCACCAGTAGTGGCGCGCCGAGGAACACGCTTTTCTATGTTTATAACGTTAGTTAAATTCGCTCAGAAAATGTCTTTTATTTGTGGTTCAAGAGAATAAATAGACAGACTGCTAGCTAATACAGAATTACAATACCGCATTGCTTTCGACGGGGTTAACAGTTACCCTCGCCATGTGTAACGTTAGCCTTGGAGCTTAATTAAACTCGAGTTAACGTTAGTTCTTATTCTTAGTTATTAAATATTATTATTTCCAACTGTTCTTTTTCAGTCAAAGGCATCATTATTTGTTATTAGTTAACGTCATGTGGTCAAATGAGCCAGCATATGCCGAAGGAAAGTCCAAGAAAAGTTGCCTCAATACAGACTACTCGGTATGTGTGAAACGTAACATTGCGACTCCACCACGTCACTCACCAGAAACCTTGTCGAGCTCGTGCCCTGGTCAATAGCAGCTACCAGCGGATCCATCCTCCTTCTTTTTACTTGTTACCGTTGAAACGCTCGAAACAAGACGTTAAACACTACCAGCTGCTGGGTTTGAGGCTCGCACGGGACGACACGAGTGCTCGCTCGGACAACACTCACGACTCCTCGTGAGGGGTAGGGGGTGGGTCAACCCAGGAACCGGCCCGTGCTGATTGAACGATTGGCTGCTCCACAGAAGGCGTCGGCCTCGCTCTGTCCAATCAGGACCGGGGGCACGCCAGGGCACGGGCAGGGAGGAGAACATGCCGAGGGCGCAGAAAAGGAGTAAAATAAATAAACACTTACACAGACTGTGTCGATTCTGTAGATCGATAAAGTCGATATCTGAGCAGACAACACTTAGCCTACCGACACCTTGTGATTCAATCAAGTATGTATCGATGTCTGGATACGCAATATCCGGCCACTGTGTTGGCTCATCATCGATCCCACAGACATATTGGACGGGGAAGCCTGAAGGGACATGACAGTATTAGACCACAATTTATTAACTTCAAGATATCGCCAGTGTTGGGTAAGCTGCACATTCCTTCACACTGGAAGAAGAACTAGAGGAATGCAGTTTGGTTAAATAAAGCTGCTTAGAAAAAGTAGGCTAGTTCAAAGTACTTTGTCAAAAAAAAAAAAAAATCAAATTGAAAATATGATAATGCCTGCTTATGTAAACTTCAAAAGCTCATAGGACCTAAATGTCAGACATCATTAATAACTGCATTTACTGAAATCATGAAATTTATTTTCCCGTTAATAAGAAATCACTGAAACATTTAAAGAGGTTAATTAAACATTCTTTAGTCATATTTCAGTATTTAAGTGTACAAGCTAAGCTCAAAGTAATATCTTTCTATGGTTCCAGCTCACCAGGAAGAAAAACAGTCCCCCAAAATGTAAAGTTTTCTTATTTAATCCACACATTCACTGAAATGTCACTCAGTGTGTAATCAGTACCCACTCGAGGTCAGTGTGGGTGTTCCTTGATGACAGATCATTAGATGTTGCTGGGATTGTTTGAGATTGAATAAGATGAAGTAGAAGAAACTCTTCTGTGTCAAGAAGGTCAATTGTAAAAAAAAAAGGTCCCAATTCAACAACTGTATGACATTATAGGTCTGCAGTCCAAGCTTGATCTGTGCAGTGTGAGAGGATGGAAACATCTTAATACACAACAAACAAGGTGCTCCATTCAAGACAGAAAACTTTTTATTTCTTTGTTTTCTTTCAAAATGATTTAGTGAGAGTGTAAAGGCCCACACTTCTATGAAAGTCAGTTAAAGTGGCATCACACTTACAGTGTTCAAGCTTAAAGCAAAAACACTTGTTTTTCTCATCTTTCCTGCTCTGTACTGTACTATATTTCTTTCTCTCTGTCTCTCTCTCACACACAGACACACACACGTTTTCCATCATGCACATACACACATACAGTATACTGGCTTCCTGTCCACACTTTAGATATCCTGTCACACATCTACAGTTACCTAGTATGCACACCCCCCGTCTCTGTCTCACATGTACGTAACTACAGCAGATACAGTGTCCCCTTCTCTTCTTTCAGTCAGAGGGGTCTCCTCTACTGCTGATAATAAGGCGCTAAAGCCTAAAATAGTACTGATCTTTATTTGGCTTTATGAGGAATCTGTCTGGTAACTGCACTGAGCTGTAGAGGCAGACTAATGATCCACTTACTGTAAGCCTAATGTGTGCTACTGGACAGCGAAAGCACAACGTTTTGAGCCATGCTGACACATTTGCTCTCACTTATACCCTTGGCCTTTTCACAAGAAGTAATGGTTGCAGGTAGAAGGTGAAGGCTGGAACACTAATCCCTGACAGGGGGCCATAAACCTGGTCTTGTGCTCCTGAGGATGAACAAACTACCCTGTCTGACTCAAGTCAAGTAAAGTTCAACTTTATTGTCATTTGCACATACAGAGTACATGGGAACGAAATTGCACTTTCTCCCAATCCCAAAGTGCCATCATACACTTACAAATATAAAAAAAATATAAAGATAAAAAATATATACATATCATACATACATAAGTATAAAAACATAAAGTTAAAAGGTAAAAAAAAAAATATACACATCACATATTTAAATTTTAATTTTAATCTTATATACTTTATTAATCCCTGAAGGGAAATTCAATTTTTTCACTCTGTTGTCAATTACACACAGGTCCAAACACACACATGCACAAACAGGAGCTATACATGCACTAAGTGGAGAGATGTCAGAGTGGGGCTGCCCATGACAGGCCCTCCGAGCGCTTGGGGGGTTCGGTGCCTTGCTCAAGGGCACCTCGGCAGTGCCCAGGAGGTGAACTGGTACCTCTCCAGCTAGTCCACGCTCCATATTTTGGTCCAGACGGGGACTTGAGCAGGTGACCCTCCAGCTCCCAACCCAAGTTTCTATGGACTGAGCTACTGCCGCCCCCAAATATATATGCATATATACATACATGTGTGCATATATACAGATAAAGAGAAACTCATCCAGGCTTTTATTTCTTCACGCCTCGACTATTGTAATAGCTTATATACCTGTCTCAGCCAGAAATCACTTCACCATCTACAGTTAGTACAAAATGCTGCAGCTCGGCTTTTAACTAGGTCTAAAAAATGTGACCACATCACCCCTGTTTTAGCATCCCTGCACTGGCTACCTGTTCATTTTAGGATTGATTTTAAAATTCTTTTATTTGTTTTTAAGGCCAGACTTGGGCTAGCCCCTGCCTATGTTTCAGAACTTTTATCCTCACACAAACCAGCTCACAGTCTGAGATCCGCTGATAAGGCCCTGCTAGCTGTTCCAAGGTCTAGGCTGAAAACAAAAGGCAACAGGGCCTTTACAATCAAGGCCAGACTCTGGAACGATTTGCCTGAGGAAATCAGGTTTTCAGAGTCTGTTCCTCGTTTTACCTCGCTCCTCAAGACACACTTTTACAGGAAGGCTTTTATGATGTAATGTTTAAGTTGATGTAATGTTTAATTTGTATGTATTTTGTGTTGATATTGAGTGTGTGCTGATATTTTATGCTGTAAAGCACTTTGTTATTTATATTGAAAAGTGCTATACAAATAAATTTATTATTATTATTATTAGAAATAAAAGCACACATGTAGAGTCTAAAAAACAGACACAATTCTTTCTGACAATTTTTCTACAGATACAGTTGTTCTTGCACCAGCAAATGAAATATTCTTTAGAAATGTGTTCAAACCATTTCTGTGCTTGTTTCTGTATGGTTTCCTGTGGGACACTGTTGTCTTATGCACAGGGCTATGTGGCTTCTTTTTGACAGAAAGGCTACTGCTATAACCATTTACAGTATGGTCATAAAGTGCTCTGAACCAAATATCTGACCCTGCTGGTTAGACACAGCTTTCTCACAGGCCAGTGTCACCCAGCAAGTTTTAGGAAACAGTGACAGAAATAGGAATTAGGGCTTTTAACTGGGTCTTAAGGTGGAGGTTGACAGAGGTCGAAACTTTTGGTAGATGGAATTGTCTTCCCAGCTCTTAAACAGCTCCTGGTTGACCTGGAGTTTGTTAAGTCCAACAGGGCCTGCAGAAAACCACAGAGAGTTTCCACTTTAAATTTTATTCTTAGATGTACTATAACACAGAAAAATAGAATCCTTGTTTTCACTTGACGGGTGACAGGTGGAGGCGACAGCTGCAGGCTGCTGTCAGAGGCTCTAGTTGGAGGTTTGGCTGCACAATTGGTAAACCAAATAAAGTAGCTTCAGATAAACTTATTCAAACTTGGTAACAGTCAAACGTCAGTCCAATGTAATTCATTTACAATAAAATAGTTCTAATGTTGGCAAAATATTGCCAATATTGGTAATATTTGGCCAACATCGGTACATTTCTTGTAAAGTCTGAATGGTAAAACACTCAGAAAACAACATGGGTTTTAAACCACAGGACATTGCAAGCTACCATCTGCTGCTTGGATATTATGAAGGTTTTAAGATTCAAACTTCATGATGGAGATGTAAATACAAAAACATGTTTTTTTTTTCATCACAACCCTTGTGACACCGTATTTTGTGTCAATATTTATTATATTCCAAGTCTGAAATTGTTTTAGTAAGTGGGATTCATTCATTCTTTAAGTGTTTGCCCATACACACACACAACCAGTATAGTAGGCTGCTGATCTATTGTTCATTTGACAGAAATATGAGCATCACAGGACTGTATTGATGGCTTTCAGTCTGGATGACTGACTGAGCCTACGTGACACCTACAGCCCAGTAGTGTATTCTACACCTAATGACAAGTGGAATTGTTAGATTTAGAACTCCTCAGGAGGAAACAGATAGCATAATGTCTAGGTGTTACTACTAACACTCACCAAGGCTCTGTTCTGTTCAAGTGCTCCAGTGAGAGTGTCAGTGAGCAGGCATGCAGGATACAAGGATCCTGAAATCAACACAGCAAAGTGAAATGTAACTTTAGTATTTATACCTGTGTTGTTCCCACTGTGACATGTCAAAATGTCCTCCATGAAAAAGGCCTATTAATGATCCTGCTGCTGTTAGTCACAAAAATACAAGTTATACTGTTAAAGTATGGGTATATATTAATATTTTAATGGATTAATCAATAATTCTATAATGCAATGTGATCAATGTAAACATGAATAATTAAAACTGTCTCCACTTTAATTTGCCAATAGCGCTTATGTTTTTGTTTGTTTGTTTGTTTGTTTGTTTGTTTGTTTTTGTGAAATGGCACAGCCCCTTAATGTACTGATGTAATGTTTTGAGGAATGTTTTTTTTCTTTAAATTACAGACTCTGAAAGCCAACAAGCAACAAACCACTTTGCCTCATTCAGTACAATTTACAGTAATGACAGTATAACAGTTTGTAATAATAATAACAATAACCTTTATTAATATAGTGCTTTTCAAAATACAGTTACAGAGTGCTTTACAATAAAATCAGAACACATTTAATAACGTGAAAAGAATGAAATGGACAAAAGGCCAAAAACTCAACATAAGAAAACACAAAGGGCAAAACAGAATAAATTGTCATGAAACAGATTAAATCACAGAAATGCAATTCTTTGAAAAGTGGGGTTTACAAGTGATTTAAAAGACAAGAAAATTGCCACCCTGATTTCCTCAGGCAGGTCATTCCAAGGTGTAAGAGCTCTAAACGCAAAGGCTCTAAATATATATATATATATTTATTTGAAAGTATGATAATTATATTAATATTTTAATGGTTTAAACAATAATTCTATAATGCAATGTGATCAATCTAAACATGAATAATTAAAACTGTCTCCACTTCAATCTGCCAATAGCCCTTATGTTTTTGTTTGTTTGTTTTTTTGTTCCTGCAGTCAAACTCTCTGAATATTTTTTTTAAGTAAGAACACAGATTATTCAATAAGACTACAGCTCCGTTGGACTTCATGGGCAAGGGATCAGGCTTATGTAACTCTGTCTGTCTGGAGGCTTTTTGAGGCTATGAAGCACTAAATGATTTAAGATAATGTTAAGTTGGAATGGCGGTCTCCTCTACACAGCTCAGGTGAATCGTTGTCTTACTCGACTGGGCACCAAAGTGTATTACCAGCTCTGTGCAGGTTACTGATTCTGGGTCTGCCAGGAATGTGAAACTTGCCCTGTCAGTTCATTTGGATGTGAATTGTGTAATTATTCATTACTCATTTGACTAATTTAGATGGTTAGAATACATTTGAATCAATCTGAAATCACACTGGCACTAAGTGTGCTGTCCACCATAGTTCAGAGCGCGTCTGGTTTCGAGGCTTCGGGCCCAGCATCTGTGTGGCTGTCAGCTGTGCTCTGTGTGCCCACAGTCAGCTCCTTATTCCTGGCTGCATTCTCACTCTGAGCACGGTTCTGTTGCTCCCTCTCCAGCGCTTTCTCCATCTCTGTGTAGTAATCGAGAGCCTTCCGTACCGGGTTGATAATGTGTTGCTGCAGAATGAATGAGGAATTGATCAAATTCCACCCCAAGTATGCAAACTTTCCCTCACCCTTGTCTGTTTTTCATATAGCAAGTGATCCCCTTCATGTCCCAGAGTAACCTACTGCTCAGTGAATTTACTGGATATTCATGATTCTTTAAAAAAGAAAATCACCTCCAAGCAGGGGAAGAGGTTGGCCAGCTCGATGAAGAGAGGCAAAAGGACGAATCTGATGAAGCCTGTTTGAGATGAAGGCTTGGTCACTTTGTCCCGATCCATGAAGGGGGTGACTGGAAGACCCTCTAACTTCTCCACATCACTCTGAGGGCAGATAGACGACACAGTTGGCACAGTTGGCTGTACTTCTAGGGCTGGCTTGTGTAACTTTTTAGAAGGTCAGATCATGTGTAAATAGTCCTCTGTGGTTGGGGAATAAATATCTGGGTGTCACCACAGTATGACATGTCTTTATGAACAACAGGACTCAGTTACCTGGTTGTAGAATTCCTGTAGAAGACAGTCCAACCAGGGCTCAGCTACCTCCATGGGCCGCGCCTCATTGGATATGTCACTCACTTTGATCAGAATCATCATCAGCTTAAGACACAATGGGGAAAAAATTATGGGGAAAAGACAGAGGTATAGAGTTTGGCCAGTGTTTGAATCACTGTATGATGGAGTGTCAAATATACCTGTTATTCTATCATTTATAATCCTAATGTCAAAGTCCTTAAAATGAGATAAAAGTGTGTCCATTAATGCACACTTTCATATCTAGCAGGTTGAACTATTACAATGCTGTCCTATCTACCCAAACTGATACAACTACAGATCAGTTACAGCTGATTCAGACCTCCTCTGCCTTAGTCCTGCAGGACCAGAAGGACAGATTACACCCGTTTGAAAGTCTTTACATTGGTCAGGTTTCATTCTTGATTCAGATAATCTTCTGCTTGTTTTTAAAAGGACCACATGTTCTTGCATCACATTTACTTGAGGTGAAGCAGTTTTTAGTTTTCACATCACATCAGCATGAAATGTTGTTATCTCGAGAGTAATAGGTAAAGTCTCACTACATTTTTATTTCCTTAGCCACTGAAATAGTCTACCTGAGAATCTGAGTGCAACAAAAGGTGTTTATATCCATAATGGTAAAACCTATGTCTTTAGCATGGCTTTTGAATGTTTTATGACCAATATTCAAATGTTATTTAGCTATTTATTTAATTGAATTCATGTTTTAAATGTTTTTATAGCCTTATGTTTATTTCATTTGTTAGTTGTTTTTTTTTTAAATCAGTGTTATTGGTTTGATCAGTCAATTCAATTTTATTTATAAAGCCCAATATCACAAAGCACAATTGCCTCAGAGGGCTTTACAGCATACTCCGTCCCTCTGTTCTTAGGACCCTCACAGCGGATAAGGAAAAACTTCCCCCAAAAAAAACCTTTAATGGGGAGAAACCTCAGGAAGAGCAACTGAGGAGGGATCCCTCTTTTGATCTGTTTAGTTGGTTTTTATTATTACATACATTTATTATTACTTTCGGGAGCAGAGTACCTTGCCTGGTATGGGGACACTGGGGCCTCCTCCTCCTGGAGCCAGACCCAGGGGGAGAGCTCGCCAGTGAGCATCTGGTGGCTGGGCCTTAGGCCATGGGGCCTGGTCGGGCTCAGCCCGAAAAGACAACATGGAGCCGTCGCCCTGTGGGCCCACCACCCACAGGGACAGAAATTGGGGTCGGGTGCATTGTGTGCCAGGCGGCAGGCAGGGGCAAGGCCCCTGGCGTGCCGATCCCTGGAGTCATGGACTGGCTTTTGGAACGTGAAACGTCACCTCTCTGGTGGGGAAGGAGCCGGAGCTGGTGTGGGAGGTGGAGCGGTTCTGACTAGATATAGTTGGGCTTACCAACACGCACAGCACTGGTTCTGGAACCAAACTCCTGGAGAGGGGCTGGACTCTCGCTTTTTTCTGGAGTTGCTCAGGGTGAGAGGCACCGGGCGGGTGTGAGGATACTCACAAGCCCCCGGCTGAGCGCTGCCGTGTTGGGGTTCTCCCCGGAGAGTGAGAGGGTCATCTCGAAGTGACTGTGGGTCGCAAAGAGAAGGTCTCTGACTGTGGTTCGTGCTTATGCACTGGACGGCAGTGCGGAGTACCTGGCCTTCTTGGAGTCTCTTGGCGGCATCCTGCAAGGGGTGCCATAGTTCTCCTGGGGGACTTCAACGCTCACGTGGGCAATGATGGAGAAACCTAGAGGGGGGTGATTGAGAGGAACGGCCTGCCTGATCTGAACCCGAGTAGTACGTTGTTATTGGACTTCTGTGCGACTCATGGACTGGCCATAACAAACACCATGTTCGAGCACAGGGAGGTTCATAAGTGTGCCTGGTACCAGAACACCCTAGGCCAAAGATCAGCAATCGATCTTGTGGTCGTATCAGCAGATCTGCGGCCGTGTGTCTTAGAAACTCGGGTGAAGAGAGGAGCAGAGCTGTCAACTGATCACCACCTGGTGGTGAGTTGGATCAGAAGGCGGGGAGGCTGCCGGACAGACCTGGTAAACCCAAATGTGTAGTGAGGGTGAACTGGCAATGTCTGGCTGAAGGCCCTGTCTGTGGGGTCTTCAACTCCCACCTCCAGGAGAATTTCTCGTGCATCCGAGGGGAGGTTGGGGACATGGAGTCTGAGTGGGCCATGTTCAAAGCCTCTATTGTGGAGGCGGCTGCTAGGAGCTGTGGTCAGATGGTTGTCAGTGCCTGTCGGGGCGGCAACTGAAGAACTCGCTGGTGGACACCAGCGGTGAGGGAGGTCATCAGGCTGAAGAAGGAGGCCTTTCGGGTCTGGCTGGCCCAGGGGTCTCCTGAAGCAGCAGTCAGGTACTGGTTGGCCAGAAGGGCTGCAGCTGTGGCGGTCGCTGAAGCAAAAACCCGGGTGTGGGAGGAGTTCGGGGAGGCTAGGGAGAAGGACTTTAGGTTGGCCTCAAGGAAGTTCTGGCAGACCGTTAACCGACTCAGGAAGGGAAAGCAGGGCTTGTCTCAGAAGGTGCTCAGCAGAGAGGGAGAACTGCTGACCCGAACTGGGGACATCGTCAGGTGGTGGAAGGAGCACTTTGAGGACCTCCTGAACCCAGCCATCACGTCCATTGTGAACGAGGCAGAGCCTGAAGACTTGGAGGAATTCTCACCCATATCCCTGGCAGAAGTTGCTGAGGTAGTTAAAAAGCTCCCCAGTGGCAAGGCACCGGGTGTGGATGAGATTTGCCCTGAGATGCTGAAGGCTCTGGGCACTGTTGGGCTGTCTTGGTTGACACGCCTTTTCAGTGTCGCGTGGAGGTTGGGTACGGTGCCTGCAGAGTGGCAGTCCGGGGTGGTGGTCCCCATCTTCAAAAAAGGGGACTGGAGGGTGTGCTCCAATTATCGGGGTATCACACTGCTCAGCCTCCCGGGTAAAGTTTACTCCAGAGCGCTGGAAACGAGGCTCCGACTGATTGTCGAACCTCAGATTCAGGAGGAACAATGCAGATTCCGTCCTGGCCGTGGAACAGTGGACCAGCTCTTTACACTTGCGAGGCTACTGGAGGGGTCGTGGGAGTTTGCCCATCCAGTCTACATGTGCTTTATGGACTTGGAGAGGGCTTACGACCGCGTCCCTCGTGGGTCTTGGGGGGGGGTACTATGGGAGTACGGGTTGCCAGGCTCACTGCTACGAGCCATCCGGTCCCTGTATGACCAAAGTGACAGCTGTATCCGCATACTTGGTATAAAGTCGAACACGTTCTCGGTGGGTGTTGGCCTCTGCCAAGGTTGTCCCTTGTCACCAATCCTGTTTGTGACCTTCATGGACAGGATTTTGATGCGCAGCCGGGGGGAGGAAGGAGTCCGGTTTGGGGACCTCAGAATTGCATCTCTGCTTTTCGCAGATGATGTGGTTCTGTTGGCTCCATCACACCGTGACCTCCAGCATGCACTGGGAGTGTGCAGCTGAGTGTGAAGCAGTTGGGATGAGAGTCAGCACCTCCAAGTCTGAGGCCATGGTCCTCTGCCAGAAACCGGTGGATTGCCCTCTCCGGGTTGGGGGAGGGTTACTGCTTCAAGCGAGGGAGTAAAAATTCAACGTCCTGTCTTGTCAGTTCAATGGCTCAAACGACCATGGCCCACCCACACAGGTATTTTCATCTATGTTGTCTAATTAGACAAGTTTAGTGACATCATATTATTCCATAATACAGAAACATACAGATTAAAAGTTGGAATTATTTTATCCCTTAGTTGTATTCTTTATTTTGCGTTTTATGTGTAGGATAAACTAGTAGTATTATTAAGAGTAAAACATAAAAAGCGGCTCCTTATTACACTATTTTCCTCTTACCACATCTCTGTGGTCCTTGTTGGTGAAGTCAAAAGCTGGCAGGATGGACTTGAACTTGTTGAGAATCTCATTATGCCTCGTCATGTCAGTGGCTAGGATGCATCTGCAGTTATGACAGAATAAAATCCATTCAGTACCATGAAGTGTAGTGCCATTACGGCTGAGTAACATGGGAAAATGTGGATGTTAAGAAAACCAGAAAGATGATCTCACTTGATGATCCCTTCCCTTATCCGTTTGTACTGATCCATGGACAAATTCCTGAATATGTTGCTCTCTGTCTACAAAACACAAAATCCTTCATTGACTGCAGAGTTGACAGACTCTATCTCATGGTGATAGCCCTGCCCTTGTCTGGTCTTGTCTTGGTTTAAATCCCTAAACTAAAATGTATGTTTCATGGCAGCTTGGGCAGAAATTTTTGAACAAACAACAGGTTTTCATCCTTACCTTCTCCAGTATCTCAAAAGCTACTGCACAGTGATGGTTCTCCAGTGGAGAGATGTCATTGTAGCGGAGAGCAAGTTCAGTCCGAGCATTTATCTGAAAGATAGTCAGATATCAGTTTAGATTAACATTAAATAGAGTTGGTATTAAAGCAGTTCTGCATACATTGGTGCCAAAGCCTCAAGAGACAACAATGGAAAACTGGATTAAAATTTAAATGTTGAATTTCAAATTAAAAAAGTAAAATACAACAGACTGGAAACATTATGAGGGTTTATCATGTGCTTATGTCAATGATACAGCATGCTGTATATAAGATAAACAGCTATTAGTATATATTGGCCAAGAGCAAGCAATATCTCAACAACGCCTCAAGGAAATTTCTTCAAATTTGGCACAAATGTTGATTTGAATTCAAGGAACTGATAAAAATTTGTTGGTCAAATGTCAATGTCACTGTGACAATGTTCATGGCATTCTCATGAATGTGGTACCTCAAGAACACCTTGAGGGAAATTCATTAAAAATTTGGCACAAATGTCCAGTTGGACTCATGAATGAACTGGTAGAATTTTGTGGTCGAGGGTCAAAGGTCACTGTGACCTCACAAAACATGTTTTTTTTGCCATAACTCAGGAATTCATATGCTAACTGTGACAAAATTTTATACAAACGTCTAATTGGACATAATGATGAAGTGATAACATTTATATTCAAAAGGTCTAAGGTCATCATAATGTTAAAATATAAACATAATGCAAAAAGACTTTTCTGGCCAGGAGCACAGTGAGACACATTTGGTCAGATACTGAATAGGTGACTCTAAACTTGGGTGCCCACCTTAAAACTTTGCTAGTTGTATACATCCTCTGTGTTGCCGGGGGTGGGAGGTGGGGGTGGGGGGGGGGGACATCTATGTTTTTAACAACTTGACAGGTTTGTGAAGGCATACAACCCCGTGGTGGTAATAGAAATGTTTAAGTCTATCTTAAAATACAATATCCACATGCCCATATATACAATGGAAGTGTAAATGGTTTAAGTTTTACCCTGTTCATATTAGCTGTGAAAAGCTCTATTCTCAAAGTAATTGCAATGTACTTGATGAGGCACAAAATCTAAAAGGCTGAATGCCAAAAAGGGCGTTCTAATACAAAAGGCTTCAGCTATAACATAAGGCTGCAGCTGTCTGAGTTTGAGAAATCAAGTCATAATAGTCAAATTAGTGCTAAATTCCTACTTTGTGTTTTGACTCAGCAAGAACACACTATCTGCAAAAGCACAAAGAGTGGATGTCACATACCTGATAGGCATTGTTGTATCCTGTGTGGTCAAGGTCGTGGCAGACTGCAGAGGTCAGCATGATCAGCAGGTCGACGCTGTCCATCTTACTCTTCAGGTCAGTCAGCCAGATCAAACCATACATCTGCTCAGAAATAAAGAATGAGTACAGAATGAGAACTGGAGAGATCATCATGTATATAATGTCGCTAAAGAACGCTGCCATTTATTCTGAACAATAAAATGATTAAAGCATCATTAATTGTTTTTTTCCCACTTGGGGGCAATACAACCATAAACGCAACCTTGACATAGCCTGTTATAATGTTGTTACAGCTAACATGTTAGCAAACAACCTGATGAAAGTAAGTCCAATATTTACTCTCATTTTAGCTTTGTTTTAGTCTCCACTAACTTCTCAGAGATATATATCTGGCTCTAGCTGCCATATGCTCCAGATAGATAACTTAGTAGTTAGTTTACAGTTATGTATTTTTGGATATCAGAAAGATGCTAAAATGCTCAGTTGAGTTTATGGATAAGCAACAACTTTTCTAATTACACAAAATCTTGTCCTTAAAGCTGTAGCAATCAATATTTTTTAAATAAAAACTAATCAATTGAATATTTTGTAGAGGATAGTAAGTCAACAAGTTGCTTCCATAGGCTCCATGCTTTCCAATGAATGTTGTTCGGTGTCACATGAAGCCAAAAAGCTTGATTCCTGTGTATGAAATTACCCGGATGTTCTGCATTGTAGGGCCGATAGAGCAAGTGCATGAGAGACTTACTGCAGGCGAGCCGCTAACGTCTGGTTTAGCTTGCCACTAACTTTGATGGGGATAAAAATGACTTAAACATACAGCCAGGGATTTCCAGTGACTGTGAAGCTCAAAAGAGTTAGTCTATTGATTTACAGATCTCTTTCACATTAGGCTATGGGAAAAAGTCTTTTTGGGCCATACAGTATCATGTGATGGATGCAAAACTTGTAATTAAATGTTTGTCCATTATGTAAAATTGCCTTCAAACCATCTTGGTTGCCTCACTTTTTTTGCTTGAAGGAGTTGCTTATAGTGAGAGGTGCTCAAACTAAACCATCAACTAAATGTTTACCAAAAATAATCAGCTAAAATAAGATAAAGGTGGCTAAAAACCCACAGGCATCTGTTTATACCAAACGCATTGATTAATGCAGGTTGAATCCATTATGCATCAGCCATTTTTAAAGAAATGTTAAAGGCAAGAATTAAAATCATCATGTGTTCTTCATGAATGTGTTGAGATAAACTGTCTAACCTGCAGAGCTGTCCACTGATTTGAGTCACCTCTCAACCCTTGAGGGCCAGATGTCCTTCAATTAGCCATCAAGAATGATTTGGCATGATTGCACAATTTCATGATTACAGACATAGTTGGGCTCTCAGTGTCACTCTAACACACACACACACACACACACACACACACACACTCACCATCTGGGTAACACAGAAACAGTGCTTGAAGTTGTGGAAAGGGATGTTGTTGTATCTTCGATAGACCTCAAACAGGAACTGTTGCAGTACTTCGGGCTCAATGTTGAAAGCTGCTATGAAATCTAAGTCTGTGTACATGACTTGCAGGAGCACCATGATCTCTGCATCCTCCCACTGCCTGCACACACACACACACACCAACACCACACATCATTATGCTGATATAATAAAAAAATAATTTAAAGAAGGCATCTCACCTAAGAAATGACTGAACGTATGAATAACTAGCAAAGGCTTCCACATAAACCTCACTGCTCTGAGCATTATCAATCAAGTTGCTAGGAAAAATGTTTGGCATTATACGTCTCTGCAAACCACACATATTTTACACATTACATCATATTTGCACATTACATCAGAACATTGTATATATATTTATATATATATATACATACACACATCAGTATTTTGGAAAACTGCTGATTTATTTTGGAATATTTAATAAATATGTCTTCAGTAGGAATGGGTTGGGGCTGAGCGTCAGAGACCAGGTAAGGAAGTCATAAAGTGTTAAAAAACAGGCTAAATAATTGTTGGTTTTGGTCTTTTCATGGGATTTGTTGACAATAATAAACAATGCCAACCTGTATAATCTCTCTATGCCACATAGCAGGAAGCAAAAAGCATATTTCATCAGGGTTTCAAAGGAATCCTATAATCTATTATGATTATGTGACGTCCCAAGCTTCAGCTGTCATTCTGTAGCCTGTGAATAACCGCATATCTATCCACCACCACCATTGTGGGCTTGCTTTAAAAGCTTTTGGACAAATGAAATGATGAATGAACCTTACTGAATGCTGCATGCACTCCCCCATGAAGCCCACTTCAAACATGGGCTGTTGATTAAACCTTTTGATTTGTGAGCCCTCTGCAGGCCTATTCATATTGAGATGAGTGTGTCGATCAGAAGAAAAGGGAGACGTCTCCCGTCCTCTTCAGAAGCGCATCAGAGGTGCTTGTTGGGCACGACTGTCATTAGCGGACAGCCTGCCTCACTGTCTGCACACTAAGGAAACAGGTGCACGCGTTGTTTGTTTGTGATCACGCAGGCACAAAGAAAACACGGTGATGAACACTGATGTTGCAGGTGACACAGAACCATGTCTACATTCATATTGGTCACATTGAAACTTACCAGTTATCAAAGGTTGGGGTCTTTAAGTACTGTTTTACTTCTTCTGACACCTCCAGGGAGCTGCAAAGGTGATTACAGAAGCATTAATGATTACTTGGTAAGATAAATGGAGTGCTGTCGTTTTTAGGGATTTTTGCATGTGGACGTGCCTCATCTGAAGGAACTTTTCCCGTACATGCTCACACTCCTTCCTGGTTTTATGCAGGGTTCTCTTGTGGTAGAATGGGGAGGGCTTGTGTGTTCCCTCTGACAGGTCTTTAAACAATCCCAGCCAGCTCAGATGCTCCACACTCTGAAAAGGGATGGAGACAAATCCAGTCAGCAGAGCCTGCAGGCTAGAGCAAAACACTGGGACTCATGCAGCAACATTCTCTCATATTTTACCTTAATTTCTGTTAATTTCTTAATTTCTGACATACTGGTAATAATACAGGTAATTGGCCAATAATTGATAAAAAAAAGTGCTGCATGATTGCATAGGAATCATGGGTAACAGTTAGCTGATCATTAATGTTTTGTACTGTTAATTAAATAGGTTTCATGATTGTGCCAATTTATTTTCCCTAATAATATGTTGGATTCATGTTAATGTGTATTTTCAGATACATTTTACTTTTTGAAAAAATTAATTAAAACTTGTCAAGATCAAGATCACATATCATCACATAGCAATCTATCTATCATATCTGGTCATGGACTGCCATGGGTGCATTGGCTGTTGACGGTGTTGATGTTGACGTGTGTTGGTTGTTGGACCCATCCACCACCCGTCCCACATGCCCGACTCAGACTTTTGCCACCTCAACTTCGTTCTTGTCCCGCTGTGTTTGCCCCTGACGCCGCCAGATGCTGTTATGCTACAACAGTGAGTGGCTGCATATCGTGCCAACATGAGAGGATGGCTTTTATCGTCTGTGTCTGATGCCAGAAGTCACTGACCAAGCACCGGATTTCGATGACTTAGGAGTGAGACTGGGTTGGTAACTCTGAGGACCCTGTAAGGCTCACGGACCCACTGTGAAAGACCCTGGCCTTTAACAGCTCTATAGGTGATGCAAAGTCAAAATGCAGTGACTACAATTTTAGTGTCTTATCTGTTCAGTATGAGGAAACTGTGACAAAGACAGTTTTAAGCAACACTTATGTGCTATTTTGTTGTTATGTTCACTACATCAGGTTTGACCTATATTCTGATTCCCTGACATCATCATCATCATCATCATTGTCATCATCATCATCAACAACATCATCATCAGTGATGTTGCTTGTAATATGCTTACTGCAATATTATAATATAATAATATAATAATATTATAATATCCTAGACCCAGTAGAATCCCAGATCTCCTGGGACCCAAGACAGAGCGCAGTAACTATATTTACTGTCTTTTACTGTCTTATTTTGGTTAGGTGTTATAGTTACTGCAATTTTTACATCCTATTTTCTGTAAAACAGAACACGATTGAACCAGTACAATTTTGCCACAAAGATAGAACAGATATCCAAAGGTTTAATTTACTCAGTTTGGACCAAAATTGTAGTTACTGCGTTTACCTTTCTAGGGCAGAGCTTCAAAACCACCAAATACAGAAAGTATTGTACCTCTAGTTTCTCCCGGAATGAATCCACCTGTTTCTTCATCTCATACACTACTGCAGGCGTCTCACCGGCCTCGATCACAATTTTCTTCTCCAGGCCCTGCAGTCTGAGATCACACACTATCACTGAGGTGTTAAGTCATCATACATTTATCTAGACCTTTGGTCTACATTGCGCAAAGTCTTGTGCCAAAGCATGTCCTGTTTTCTGTTATTTCCCACCTTGCCTACCTTTTCTCCATGGAGGAGAGGTCAAATCCTAGTGCACCAGCAAGCTCTGCACCTTGAAGGATAAGAAAAAAGGGAGCCTGTCAGTCATTTTAAACAAACTTATGCACCGCAATTCCAATGGTGCAAAGTTAAAGATACCTAACGGCTCACTGTTGCAGTCGGCAGCCACCACCTCCAGCTTGTAGCAGGAGTCTGGGCTGTTGGGGTCCAGGCTTGGGGAGATGTTGATGATGTTGCCTTTAGGATTGTACAACTTCAGGATGTCATGAGGTCCTGCCTCGGCTGCAGAGCGGAACAGATCTGAAAAGAACAGCTCACTGGTCATTTCACACTTTGCCCTGAGTAGGGTTGCAGTGGTATACCTATTTCAAGATATACTGAGGCATGAAAATTGGCAGTTATCATACTGTGTGCATTTGCTCATTTATGGGGTTGAAAAAAGGCAACTGCACTCAAAAGTTCACCTTCATGTCAGTCATTCTCAAAATGGAGACTTTTTATACACACCTCTATTGAGAGATGGTTTCACGTTTTTACTATTTGTTAACAAATAATTTACTAAAGCCTTATAGATCAATTGTATCATTATTATCATAATTTTTTAAAAAATGTTGATTTCTATATTTATCATATTGTTATAAAGGTTGTGTGGTTGCTTGTCATTGTATTAATAATGAAATCAATTTATTAATAAAATAAACAATATTATTTTTGTTTCCTGGATTCCAGTTAGAGAAGCACATCCAGTCAGTTCATTCGTACACCCCGAGACACAAATGATAAATCCACTTCTGTAAGCTGGACAGAGTTCATTACATAAACACTGTCGCATATATTGTTAATCTCAAATATTTTATCTTCATCTTCATTATTCACTTTAGACACTGATACGTACAATAGCCTACTTTTAAAAAAAAATACAATACTATTTTCTTATAATATTGTGTTATATTATTATATTCGTTGGTTATTATTAGTTAAATAGTGAATATATATATATATATATATGTATATATATATATATACAGTACAGGCCAAAAGTTTGGACACACCTTCTCATTCAATGCGTTTTCTTTATTTTCATGACTATTTACATTGTAGATTCTCACTGAAGGCATCAAAACTATGAATGAACACGTGGAGTTATGTACTTAACAAAAAAAGGTGAAATAACTGAAAACATGTTTTATATTCTAGTTTCTTCAAAATAGCCACCCTTTGCTCTGATTACTGCTTTGCACACTCTTGGCATTCTCTCGATGAGCTTCAAGAGCTAGTCACCTGAAATGGTTTTCCAGCAGTCTTGAAGGAGTTCCCAGAGGTGTTTAGCACTTGTTGGCCCCTTTGCCTTCACTCTGCGGTCCAGCTCACCCCAAACTATCTCGATTGGGTTCAGGTCCGGTGACTGTGGAGGCCAGGTCATCTGCCGCAGCACTCCATCACTCTCCTTCTTGGTCAAATAGCCCTTACACAGCCTGGAGGTGTGTTTGGGGTCATTGTCATGTTGAAAAATAAATGATCGTCCAACTAAACGCAAACCGGATGGGATGGCATGTCGCTGCAAGATGCTATGGTAGCCATGCTGGTTCAGTGTGCCTTCAATTTTGAATAAATCCCCAACAGTGTCACCAGCAAAACACCCCCACACCATCACACCTCCTCCTCCATGCTTCACAGTGGGAACCAGGCATGTGGAATCCATCCGTTCACCTTTTCTGCGTCTCACAAAGACACGGCGGTTGGAACCAAAGATCTCAAATTTGGACTCATCAGACCAAAGCACAGATTTCCACTGGTCTAATGTCCATTCCTTGTGTTTCTTGGCCCAAACAAATCTCTTCTGCTTGTTGCCTCTCCTTAGCAGTGGTTTCCTAGCAGCTATTTGACCATGAAGGCCTGATTGGCGCAGTCTCCTCTTAACAGTTGTTCTAGAGATGGGTCTGCTGCTAGAACTCTGTGTGGCATTCATCTGGTCTCTGATCTGAGCTGCTGTTAACTTGCGATTTCTGAGGCTGGTGACTCTGATGAACTTATCCTCAGAAGCAGAGGTGACTCTTGGTCTTCCTTTCCTGGGTCGGTCCTCATGTGTGCCAGTTTCGTTGTAGCGCTTGATGGTTTTTGCGACTCCACTTGGGGACACATTTAAAGCTTTTGCAATTTTCCGGACTGACTGACCTTCATATCTTAAAGTAATGATGGCCACTCGTTTTTCTTTAGTTAGCTGATTGGTTCTTGCCATAATATGAATTTTAACAGTTGTCCAATAGGGCTGTCGGCTGTGTATTAACCTGACTTCTGCACAACACAACTGATGGTCCCAACCCCATTGATAAAGCAAGAAATTCCACTAATTAACCCTGATAAGGCACACCTGTGAAGTGGAAACCATTTCAGGTGACTAGCTCTTGAAGCTCATGGAGAGAATGCCAAGAGTGTGCAAAGCAGTAATCAGAGCAAAGGGTGGCTATTTTGAAGAAACTAGAATATAAAACATGTTTTCAGTTATTTCACCTTTTTTTGTTAAGTACATAACTCCACATGTGTTCATTCATAGTTTTGATGCCTTCAGTGAGAATCTACAATGTAAATAGTCATGAAAATAAAGAAAACGCATTGAATGAGAAGGTGTGTCCAAACTTTTGGCCTGTACTGTATATGTATATATACCATGTGTTTTACTGGGTTCATGACACATGGGCTGCTGCCTGACTCTATACTGTCCATCACTCTTGTGCCAGTTATTAAGGACAAAGCTGGCAAAGTTGGTAGTATAGACAACTATAGGCCAATTGCTTTAGCCAGCGTGGTATCCAAGGTCCTTGAAAGGATTTTGCTTGACCGCTTAAGTCACTATATTGACACCACACACAATCAGTTTGGCTTTAAGGCTAAGCTTGGCACAGACTTGTGCACTTATGGCTTGAAGGAAGCTACGCATGTGTAACTGAGGCGGAACTCCTCTGTTTTAATTGGTTTTATTGATGCCTCTAAGGCATTTGATCATGTTAACCATTTTAAACTGTTTCAGAAATTACGTCAAAGATAGCATTATAAGGAGTTTAGCTTTCTGGTATGCCAAACAGAGAATGCAGGTAAAATGGGGTAAATGTCTCTCTTCTTCATTTGGGGTGGCCAATGGAGTACGCCACAGGGGGCTACTTTCACCTGCCCTTTTCAACCTGTACATGGATGAACTATCCAGGAAATTGAGTGGGTGTAAAACAGGTCGTATGATTGGTAATACCTTGGTAAATCATTTTATGTATGCTGACAGCTTGGCCATTCTCTCACCAAGGACTGCTGGCTTTCAGCATTTACTGAATATTTGTTCTGAATATGGGGTAGAATATGATGTTCAGTACAATGCTAGAAAGAGTGTTGTCTTGATATTTACAGTAATGGTAAGTGTACCTGCACCATTCAAAGCACTTTTTACACTTTTTTAGGCTACCATACAAGTTGCCAACCGCTACTGAGTTTTTAACACACTCACCGATGGAACAGCCATTGGGAGCAATTGGGGTTTAGGAGGAGCTGGGGATCGAATGGCTTATCTTCTGAATAGTGGACGACCTGCCCTACCTCTGAGCCACAGTCGTGACAGTACACACACCTATCAGCCAAAAAGCCGCTGGAGTATACAGTAAAGTATACCCACTCCCTCCTCAATAATCTCCTATCTACCTAGTTGTACACCCACCTTATCAACTACCACTGCACCACTGGTTATGAGCAGTGTGTGATTTGGGGATTGTGCCGGGAGTGTTTTAGGGCCACCAAAATCCAAAATCCTAGGGCCGTCCCTGGCAGAGGATCTGGACCAAAATCCATTTTAACTTGTTATTAATGGGTAACCAATATTCTACATTTATACATGTATTTGCATAATTAACAAATAGAAAGGATAAACATAGACCAAAGGGATTTTTCATAATGTGGCACCCCCTTTTTTTTCTTTATAAATAAAGCCTTTTCACTGATCTTTAAGCATCTGTAAACAATTAACTGACATTAATAAAAGTTGTAACTTATGAGCCTTTTATAAAGCTTGCCTTGTTAAAAAGTGGTTCCACTTTTATTTAAGACCGTTACAGATGCATGCAGACTCTACATAGCCTATAGACAATACTCCAAACAACACAATAACAAACTGTCATTGATAAATATATTCTTATTACCTTTATATATGAGAGCTTCAATAAGGTTCCTTTTGCCTCCCAAGTAAAGAACATGTGAAGCCAGTGACAGACAAAGCCTTCAGCCTATGTAACAAGTGAGGAGCTGTCAGTAGCAGCTGTATCGCTGCCTGTAGCTCAAACAACCTCCATTACACACATACAATTCCTTTATCTGCTTGTGTGATGGCTGACTGTGCATTTGATCCAGGCACGTATTAAAGTTGCTTTCTTGTTTGGTTTATAAAAAAGCTGTCAGAATTAGTGTTTGTCATTGCAATGTCCTCTGTTAATGCAGCTTAAATTTAGAGTCTATAATAACAGATCAGATATTCACATCATATTTACATCTTTCCAAGAAGTGTAAAGTCATGGTAGACATGGAAAAAGTTTGGCAAATGTAAACAATGGATCATGTTACACATGTAGACATTGATTTTTACACACTATAACTGCACATGTGTATGCACTCAGATATACCTTAAAATATTTTTCTAACCTGAAGAAGTACACTTTCGATAGTAACATAATTTTCTGCTACTACCTTTGACATCCTGGGCAGGGCAATCCACTGGGAACTCAGCCTGCTCCGGTCTCCCATTCACTGTGAAGAAGATGATTTTTGTTGCCATGTCATGAATTCAGAGCCACTGATGTTGCTGTGTGCTCTCCTGATCTCTACCTAATGTCTGTCTCGCCTCATTATTTAACTGGTAAACACTCCACCCCCTTGATTTTATTCCCTCCTCCACTTCTGCTCCTCCTTCCCTTTCCATCTTTTGTACCGTGACATTTTTTCAAACAACAGACGGATTATTTTAATTTAAAGTAGCCTAACCTCCTTTTTCTAATTGTTGTCTTCTTTGTGAATGTTGTATCTGTTATTTGTTTTATTTGTAGATCTATGTATGGAGGCCAATTTCCACCACTTGGAAAAAACAAGACAAAAAAACGCTTGTTAAAAAAAAAATGTTATTACATGAAACATTTCATTTCACATTATTATGTGATAAATGATCATATCATTATGTGAAACGTTTCACGTCATAACTAAATAAAAAAAGTATAAGTAAATTATTATAACAAGAACTTTTTTATAAGAAAAGTTTCTTGTCATAACATAGAAATGTCTTGTAAAAACATGAAAAACATCTTGTTATAACAAGAAACTTTTAATGTTATTACCTGATACTGATAACATTTTTTCTGACATAATACCCTATATTGGTGTGTTATTAATTCATACTTATGAGATGGTATCTTATAATTATGAGATGATAAATCAAGAAGATCACATTAACATGTCTCATTATCAAATAATTAAATATTTCGTGGTTTTGAGATAAGTCAAATCGAAAATGATGAGAAAACATAAGGTAACTATACAAAAAACTATTTAAATATAATTAATAAAAAATAAATTACAGCAATTAGATTTAAAGGATATTTGCAGAAAATAGTAAGTCATAATGATAAGATATTGTTTTATGTTTAGGATGTAATATTTTCATAGTCATTATACACTTTATAATTCGACAACATACTAACTGTAATAGGTGATTTTGTTTCAAGTGACGGAAAAGGGCTTCAGTACTCGTATACTCACTCCAGCTGCGTTTACTGCTGCTGTTAAAACAGATAAACGCCTCCATATCCACGCCTGCAGATGGCGCTGTACCGAGCGCATGACTATAGAGAGCAAACGGAAACCTTCGCTTCCTCCTCTAGCACTTCTTTGGTTGTTACCACATGGTTAACCGGATAAAGACACCAACGTGGTTCGTGTAGAGTTGACTAACAGTGGTGTGCGTTCTTGTACAACTTATGTCTGGTTTCCATAATTAATCGAAATGACTGAAAGTAAGGCAGAAGCGGCTCAGAGGCCCAAAGAGCTGCTGGCTCTGGACCCTAAACAAGAGTCCGAGTTCAAGAAGAAGGTGCAGGAGGCGAAGAAGAACAAATTCAGCACGGTGGGTCCTCATGTGTGACCGTGAAAAATCATGAATTCACAAAATAGGATGTGCTATTGCTCCGTTTACTTGAGAGTATCTTCTTATTTCCGACGGTAGCAGGTGTCACACCTTATTCCGTAACCCGTCGGATGTTGTGAGCTATTTAGCTTAAAATTTCAGCTGTGGTAAATGGCGCTTTTATACTATGGTCAAGTCATTTAACGTTACTGTTGTCGCTGTTTTAGATAGCATTAGGTATTTATCACATTAAAGGGGAACAACACCTAAATTAACAATTCATATGTTATTTCTGTGAAGAAGGAGAGTTCAGTCAGTATTAGTGAACATGAGCTACTCTGTTTAAAGGCCAGAAACCAGAGGAGGACGTCTCAAACTTGTGATGTCATCAGGTATGAAGTCTGGAGCTGCTCAACAGACAGTTAATTGTAGACTGGTTTTATGGACCCGCAGAATATTTGTTTTTTTCTTTTATTTATTTATTCATTTTCACAACTAAATGAGCGTTATTCTATAGAAGGGTTTTCAGTGCTGAAACAGAATATGTACCCATATTCAGTAGGGGTGGGAGAAAAAATATTGGTATTGGTGTAGTATCCCAATATTTTGCATTACAATAGTGTGTACATACATGGACGATTTTTATTTTATATAAATTATTATTTCAAATATAAAATTAACTTTTGGTAGCTTTCTTCATAAAAATTGGTTTTGCAGTCCATTAGAAACATTGTGCTGCACTAAAAATGACTAAAACCTGAATCTTGTCAGATAAAACAGATGTTGAGTTTATTTTTCTTTAGGGACATAATCTGCAGTTGTGAAAAGGTAGTAAATCGCAATAGATTGTAATATATATGTCATCGCTCTAGGCATTATATTATAAAATGTTTAAAAAATGCAATAATAGCTCCATTGTGACTTACGTACTGTGATAATATCGGGTTATGGGGCCTCTGGTGATTCCCACACTTAATATACATATACACACTCATATTCTACAGAACATTCCCCTGGCTGATGTCAGTGTCATCTGTAACATCTTTACCAGATCACCAGGACAACTTTGAGTTGTAGCACACTTTTTTTTTTTCTTTTTGGGAGAGAATTGTTTATGTAGTATGTTTGAATCGCCTTAGACCACAGGAATAATATGAATTAATTTTAAAAAGTAGGCGTAGTTCCCCTTTTAAGCATCATCATGAAAAAGCTACTAACTAAAGTGGTGTCTCACAGTATATTGGTTTGACAGGGTTGCAAACTCTGATGCGTTTCCAAACAGAAACTGGTCATCAGGGTGTCTCAGGTCAAGAGATTTTCACAGTACGATGACTGTCTCAGAAAATATCATGGTTTCACAGTGTCACGGTGTAACAGAATTTATATCATCATTATTTAGAATGAAAGGAATAAAAACAGAAGGTTATTTTTGGTTGAACAAATGTTTTATTACTGTAACTGAAACTTGAAACAATTCTTGTAATGGAAATATGTGTAAAAAGTCTCCCCTTTTAAAATAGCTAAGGGAAGGGGGGGATCTCATTGTATTTTTTTGTTTACAATATTGTAGATAGGCAAATGTACACAGTATAACAGCCATCAACATTTATATCACAGTATACCTTGAGACTGGGATATCGCTGCAACCCTACCCAGGTCTGTCTGCAAAGCTACCTGTTGTTCCCTTTTCCTTATTTTATTTTCCTCTTTACTGAGACAAGATGCTTTATTGGGCATTTAAAGGTAATTATACATTATATCAGATGTGTCATACAAAAAAATTTAACTATTATTGAACAATGATATCGCTTTATGAACCAGAATATGTTAAGTAAAGTAATGATAAAGAAACAAGTTATGATTGAAATTAAATATAATAAACATTTATATAAGGGGAATAGAATAGGCCTTTAGCAGGGATTTGGACTTGTCATTGTAGGAAAAGCACAGGTGCAACATTGTCAATGGCTCTGCTCTATTCAAGTGTCCCAGTAAGGACTGACAGCGAGTCAGCATGTAATATACCAGGAAACTGAAACTGAAGCAACGAAATGGAATTCAGCCTCAATTCATTTTTTGTACACCCGTGACATCTTAGTCCAAATGTGCAATCATAAAAATATATGCATAACAGATTGCATATTGTACAAATGTTTATTTATCGTCTATGTAACCTTGTCCTCTTGTTTATTCTCTTTCCTCTTGTTTTTGTTTTGGTTTTTTTGCAGGGGGGGCATTTGACCCCTGGAGTGGTTTATGTCGGTCACCTGCCAAAGGGGCTGTTTGAACCTCAGCTAAAGTCTTACATGGAACAATTTGGGAAAGTCCTGAGGCTGCGGCTGGCCAGGAGTAAGAAGGTAGCATAGATGACAACTAAATATAAAATCACGTTTGAAATATCTAACTCTGCATAATTCACTTTCTATCCTGTACATTACAAACGAACAAAAACTTAGAATTTTTCTGTTTGCTGTATGAGATTTTAGATGACACAGATTTCCCATCAGTTTGACAGGACATTGTAGAAGTGTTACTGCAGAATTTTGGCTCGGACTGAAAATGGTTTCAGATGCCACAATGGTCTGAGATCAGATAACTGAGCCTAAAGTATTGTGGTACGTAAAGCTTATCACCTGCTCTTCTGTTGGCAGAGCGATAAAACCCATGTGCCCACAAAAGCACGAGAAAAACTAAAATAAGTGTAAAGCATTAAATGGAAATGCATTTAAAATGGAATTTAGATAGACCTAAATCAAATTAAGATGTGTGATTTGAGACTATTGAGATGTAATATCCATTTTTTTCTGTCTCATTGTCTCAGACAGGTGGAACCAAAGGCTTTGCGTTTGTAGAGTTTGACTGTGATGAAGTAGCCAAAATTGTTGCAGAAACCATGAACAATTACCTCATGGGAGAGAGACTCATCAAATGTGAGTATTGCTCATATGCAAGTCTGTTAGTTACCACCATGGCTCCTGCTGTCCTAAAGAGGATGATCAGGCCACCTGACACACACACGGGTTTATCAGATATAAAATGATGTCCTAGATCTTGTAAATTCCATGAAATGTGGCTCATCTTGATTTCTAGTATTAGCTGAATTTTTAAGATCTGTTTACAGAAAGTATCACAGTAAAGATATTTTTTTTACATTTCGTGAGTTCATGATTTATATCCATTTACTCACTGTAAATGTGATTTGCTCCAAGATCATCAGCCCAATGTGGCTTCTTGCTCTTTCCCAGGTCACGTGATTCCTCCAGAGAAGGTGCATGAGAATCTGTTTGTTGGCTCTGAAAAGAAGTTTGCAAAACCCTCCCATCCTGCTGTACTCCGCTACAATAAGAAACGCACAGAGGAGCAGATCACCAAGTTGAAAGACAAACTCCTACGGAAAGAGGGGAAGCTTCGCAAGAGACTTGCAGCACATGGCATCGACTATGACTTCCCTGGATTTGTACGTATATTGACATTAAGATAGTAACTTTAAATGGCAGCTACTGTAGCTGCTGTGTATTTATATGAGCTAGAAAAGAGTCATCCCTGAAATTTTGGGAGAGCTGATACTTGTGCAAGCTAACAAAGCTAAAGGCCTGCACCTACCTGTCAGATAACAGGCTAAATCCACATCACTTTTCATCCTCTCCTTCAGTGCACGTTTGTGAAAGTAAAAGTCAACCCCAGAGTTACTCTTGTTTTGAAATGAGCTTTGTCGTTGTGTGTGTTGCTCATAATCTGTGGACAACAAAATGGGAAGAAAAAAAGACATTCTCTGTTTTTTAAGCCACAAGCACAAACTTGTTGTGTTACACACGCTCTCCCTCCCATCCACACCTCTCTGCTTTATTTAACTTTATTATAACAGTACTTAATTTAACTTTATTAAAGCAGTACTTCAATTAATTTAATTATAACAGTACTTTATTTAACTTAAGTTTAACTACTTTATTTACCTTTATTACAGCTTGATTTAACTTTATTAAAGAAATACTTTATTTAACTTAATTAAAACAGTACTTTAATTTGATTATAACAGTACTTTATTTAACTTAAGTGTAACTACTATATTTACCTTTATTACAGTACTTTATTTAACTTTATTAAAACAGTACATTATTTAATTTGATTATAACAGTACTTTGTTTAACTTTATTAAAACAATACTTTATTTAATTATAACAGTTCTTTATTTAACTTTAGTGTAACAGTACTTTATCAATTTATTAAAACAGTACTTAATTTATCTTTAGTGTAACAGTACTTTATATAACTTTATTACAGTACTTTATGTAAATTTATTTAAACAGGGCTTCATTTTACTTTATTATTATTATTATTATTATTATTAATTAATTATTTTAGGAATCTTCAGTAGTTTAGAGGAGATTTCAAAATTTCGAGATAGATATTGTGTATCGCTATGTAGCCTAAAAGTATTGTAATTTTATTTGTTGGCTATATAGCCTCGCCCCACGTTTGTATGATTATACATTGTTATTTAGGAAAATCCTGCATAGTGTACCTTTTTAATAATATAAGTGAAAGTCCTCAAAATCTAGAAATGTCATGTGATCCATTATAAGAGGCATACTCTTCCAATCAAATCATGGAGTTTTATAGGTTTACAGCATCACAGAGCTACTCCTCTAGTATCTATACTTTTGTTGGCATCATGTTAAACTTTAGTGCTCTCTTTGCATTTTCAGGCTGCCCAGGTTCCTCAGAAGAAAAAGTCATCCGATTCCATGGATGCATCTACATGTAGTGAAGTAAGGTCAACACTAATGTTATATTTAGCTTCGGCACATTCTGAAAATGGCCTCAGGTGTACCAGTGATCTGGGGTCAGATAACTGTGCCTATAGTACTGTGGTGCGTTAAGCTTATTGCGTGTGTCTTTTGGTGGCTGCGTGATAAAACCCATGTACCAACATACTGAATTATCTCAAGGGGAAATCAAAGCTGCATTGTTTGGTGCTAGGGGATAACTTAAACAGCTAATGTGCTCCTTTCTTCCATTTCAGGACACAACACCACTCTGCACCCCCTCTGTCCTAGAGAGGAGGAAGTCCATGGTTGTCGACGATGACGATGAAGATGATGAAATTATCATTAAGATGCCAGCTGCAGTGGAAGATGAAGAGCGCTCCTCAGAGGAAGACAGTGACAGTGAGGAGAAGAATGATTCAGAGAGTGAAGAACCCATTGCAGAGGACACAGAAGCACAGTGAAAGTCCTCACTGTTTTATTGTGGACTTGGTTCTCTTGCTGTCAGTGTACAGTTGCATACATCGTTTTTGAACTGTGTTCAGAAATTAGTGTCTTTCAGGATGTGGAAATCACATCACATTGTAGAAAGACACTCGTATGAAAGATACCACCATAATTGTGGGTACTACAGTAGTGAGCACCACAGATGGTGCTCGCAGAATCACATTGAGCCTGATTTATGGGCAACAGTTGTGCCGGGACTTCTTTGACAAAGACAGATGTGCATTTCAGTCTTGGAGCAGACCTCTTCCTTTACCACACAAGGCTGTTGTATTGATACAAAACAGCAGCATTTTTATTTTTGCTTTGTCTAAAAGTGTGGTTAAATTTGTACTATGTAAACCAGTGGCTCTTATCCTTCTTTGTGTCCAGGGCCCCCATTTAATAAAAAAGTTCTAGGGAGACCTCAATCTGAAAAGTTTTTGGTTGTTAGATATGATTAAGACCAAAATGTAATAGCTGTCAACTATAGTTGAGGATGTTACTGTGGAGGAAGTGAATCCTATAATCAGAAAAGACACTCTGTTGACTCTTACCCATGACGGGCTCACTTCGTTAGTGGAAAACAATTCCCCATTTTTCTGGAACTCCCTCAACGACCAGTTGTTGAGACCCACTGATGTAAATTATGATCTTTAAAAATAAATAATCTGAGAATGTGCTCTAGAGCAATCCTTTTGTTTTTGTTATTTTTCGGATTTACAAGCATTCCAAAAAAAGCATGGGCATAAACACCGGCAGTGCAGGAAGCCTTTTTTATAGAATAAAGTCTGAAATGTCTGCTGGGAAAAATGTTCATCACAATATGAAATTCTGCAATGATAACAACAGTTTTCATTTTTCCATAACCAAATTGAAAGTATTGCAGCTATGAACCTTGTTGAATTATATTAACATACATATTAATGCCTCACATTAATAAGGTAATAAAAATAGTAACTCATTATCACTAGAGACTGTAAAATAGGTGAATAATTGACATGAATATTCTTTGACCCTAAGGCCTGTTTACAAAGCACAGACTGGTTGTATTGTGGGTACAATTGTAGTGCCTGACACAGTGGCAATGTCATGTCTGATACTGTCATTTTGAAGAAGAGTGTACCACAAGGATCAGTTTTGGGCCCATTTTTTAATTTATGTTAATAGTATCTGATAAGTTTAAATTCTGCAAGTACCATTTGTATGCGGATCTGAAATTGCTTTTAAACTCAACCACAAAAAAAATTAGGGCTTTCTCTCCTGAGCAAACAAAGATTTCAATCGTTTCCGTCAATACTCCTGATGGTGTCTCCATTCAATCTGTCAAGTTAGAAGCACTTGGGAATTTGGTTGACAAAAGTTTAAATTTTAAACACCAATTGACCATCTCGCACACTGTGCTTTTTGTACAGCCTAAAATCCTGTTTTTCCATGTCAATAAGAAATGCTTATTCGCTGGCTCTTTGCTCACTCAGACTGATTTTGCTGATATTATTTACAGGTTTGTCTCACCATCCACCTTTTTTCAAAACTTGACCTTCTGTATCACTTAGACTGATCATTGTAGCTTGTGTACCACCTTACAGCATGGTAGGATAGTCGTGTATGTTCTGACACTGGTACTTTCAGACAGACGGGCCAGCCAGAAGAGCCAAGGGCCTCTACAAGCCAGACAGAACAGCTAGAACAGCCAAGGGCCACTATCCATCACAGGGGCCAGCCAGAAATGCTATGGGCAAAGGTGCAGGTGGTCAGATGTTTCACTAAAGTTACAATATTAATGTTTCAGTACATGTTACACTGAAAGAATAATGTTACAATGTATGCTACAATAAAGTAACAATGTTGAAATACATACATGTTTAGCCTTTGCAGTCAGCATTCATATTGATGTTTTATAAGTGTTTTTGATATGTAAAGTAGTTACTGTAGAATGCAACTGACCATTCTGCTGGCAATGTTGGGGACTGCTGATGACAGATTTTAAATAAGAATTTTGATGACTACAAAGGAAACTGCAAATTTGGTCAATAAATGGTAGATATTTTCCCACCGGTCACAACTGTGACCAACCATTTTTTGATGAATCTCAATGTGACCTCCAAGTTGAATTAAGGTTATATAGTGGGTTGTATTTGGGGCTCTGGGGTCCGCTTGTAAATTTGTTTTTTACACATAATTTAATGTATATTACCTATTTGATGTGCAGTTGCTGTGGACATGCGTTTGAATGGAGCCAGGACATACTTTCCCTGTTTCCAGTAATGCATCGCGCCATTTTTCTGGAAATCCTCATTTCTATCTTTCTGTATGCAACAGTTGCACAAAAATGTAAATACTCTATGCTTGAGTGAAAACCAACATAGCAATATAGACAAATCACAGACCCCATGCGTCCAGTAGATGTCGCCAGATGTCGACTTATAGCGTCCATGATACACACCGACAGGGTTTTTTTTTTGTATTGCCATGCGACAGTTTTCCAAGTGCCAACATCATCCCTGGATCGACTACGCATGCGCACGACGATCCCATTCTTGTCCTGCAGGCAGCATTCCGGGTGGAGAGTGTGAGTGAGAGAAAGAGAAAGACACAAGAGATTTGAGGCCGTACACTGTATATTTACAAAAAGAAACACGAGCTGTATGTCCAAACCAGCTGCGGCGTTAAAGCGGGATATGGTAAGTAGAAAAAAATACTGCTGTAGGTACACCTCCTCGCCTCCTTGTCACATTTTCTTCTCTTTGTGCTGCCTGTCTGAACTGACGTTTCATTGAAAGGAAGGGCTTCGCTGGAGGCTAGCTTTAGCTTTTATTCCCCACACACCTACTCTGTCTGGTACAGTAGAAAGGTTGGCCTGCTGTTTTAGGGAGAAGCAAAGAAAAGGAATGTTTCATGGCCACCGGGGTAAATTACAGGGGAGGCTTTTTGTTTCACGTTAGCAGTATGTAGTAGCTGTCAAGGCGCTCCTTCGTTTGGCACTGCTAGCAGTGATGGTCAGGCTCTGAGCTAGCCTGGGCTCAGCTAACGTTGTAAAAAAAAAAAAAAAAAAAAGCAGAGAGGTGTGTGCATGGCGGACGTCAGGCAAATCTGTGTAACCAGCTTGTCAAAGGTGAGAGTAACGTTAGGTAGGTCTGATGTACATTGAACAAAGATGATAGGATGGTCAATTGTAAGCAATTTTAGGATGATTTAATCATAACAAGTCGAAATGTTAATGACATGTATTGCATTTTCTTTTCTTTTTTTTCATTGGAAGAACAATACAAAGCATACAAATCAAAGAGTGAACATGAAATGTTCCATTTTTCACAATTTTTCTTCTCCCCTTACCCTGCCTTCCTAAAAGAGAAACAGTAACAAAAATGAAAGCAATAACCATATCACACTAAGAACAGCAATCATAACAAGACTCAGCAGCAGTGACAAAGAAATAACGAATAAATAATCAGATAAAAATAACTCAAAAAAAGGAGGACGCTCAGTCGTCACAACCAGGCAAGGAGGTCAGAGATCCAGTATAGTTTAGGAGAGGTATCTAAGTCTTTTCAAAAGGTTTTAGGGAACCTATAAGGGAAAATCTAACTTTCTCCAGTCTGATAGACAGTAAAATATCTTTCACCACCTATTGTCGGTCGGTGGTTGAACAAACTTCCATTTAAGAAGCATAAGTCATCTTGCCAACAAGGTACTAAATGTAGGAACATGTTACATGCTTTTAGAATTATTGGACAGTAGAGGGACTCTGGACGAGAGAGGGCCAGAAATAATAGCAGTGTTATATGCAGTATTAAGGGTGTTGAAAATTTCAGACCAGAATGTAAAAAGCCTAGGGCAAAACCAGAACATGTGAGTGTGATCGGCTGGAGATTGCCGGCACCGGTTACATGAGTCTGTTAAATTAAGATAAATCTTGGAAAGCTGTGTCTTGGTGTAATGGACCTTGTTTACAATCTTCCATTGTAAGAGGCCACGCTTAGCACAGAAGGAGGAAGAGTGAACTAATTGCAAAATATGCTGCCATTGGTCATCAGGTAATACAGTTCTCAATTTCTGTTCCCACAAGCTTTGGGGTTCTTTGTTGGGTGTTAAATAGTAGAAACTATGATATGCTGTATATTAGAGATGATTTTTTAAAATTTGGGTCAACAGCCAATAAGGAATCAATAGGGGTTTCCTGTGGGGCAGCTAGGGAATTTAGGATTGGTATTCTGTAGAAAATGATTTATTTGGAAAAATTGGAACAAGTGTCACTAAGGAAGATCAGACTTTTATGAAAGTTCTGCAAAGGATAGAGAGACCCATGCTCAAATAGATCCTTAAAACGTAGTTATACCTCTGTAAAACCTAACCTAGAAGGTTGAGTCTGTGCAATAGGATAGAAAGTATGGATTATTTAAGTGGATCTATTGCATTTTCACAACTTATGTTCAAAAGAGCTAATACAGTATTGCCAAAATGTATTACACTCTGACCAGTCCAGCTTCTTCAGCATTTATACACTCTTTCACACTTTATTGTCCGTGCATACACAGTCATTTACAATGCACATGGACATGTGGCTATACACATGCACACAGTTCTGTTGTTTATACCCTGTATCTGTTTTATCTGCTTAGTTACTTAGTTTCTTTAACCAGAATTTAAAATCCTAACAAGGGACAGGGACTCCAAATTAGCCCCATACACACTGCATTACTTCTGGCTATGTAACAGTGTTTGTCTGTGTTGTCCTCAGCAAATAAACTAACAAATACATGAATTAAGCAACTGTTACCATAGGCAACCTGTAAAAAGGGAAAATTCTCACATTTTTTGTGGTCACCTTGTCATTGCACTAAAAAGGATAAAATAGTTCACACATTATGGTACCAAAAAGGTTATAGTCAAGTGAATATGGCCAACATCTAGCTGCTTCAAGACCTGCAGGTTTGAGTTTCCCCTCCCAGAACAAAGGCCCATCTTCGACAGAAGTTGTTTAACAGTCCTTTCAAGTAGATAGACTTGTCACACAAAAAGCCTGGGGTTGTCTGAATGAAAGAAGCGTAGTCAGCATAAGATCCAGCAGCTTGGAACTGGAGCAAATAAACACCACCTTGTTGTTCTTGTGTCTTAATTTAATGGAATTCTCAGCCCCTGTATTTTTCACGACAGTAGTGGGCTGTCGGGTTGAGCATTTGAAGCTGTCAGAGATTTTGGGGGGGGGGGGGGGTTTGGGTGGGGGAATTAATTCAGAGCCTTGATTTAAATGTCTGGTCATTTTGTTTTTGAATGATGATTTCCCTACCTGGTTTGATTATATTCTAGAGAGTAGATTTGTTGTTTCAGCAGCACTGACTATAAGTCATCACTGGCTGCTCATGTGTGGCTCAGCAACAGTAGCTTATTGAGGAACTGGGGATTTACATACACAATGGCCAAAAGTATTTGGACACCCTTGTGTTCTAGTAATATGTCTCATTCCATAACCGTGGGCATTATTCTGCTGCTAAAACAGGCTCAGCTCTTCTGATAAGAATTTACACAAGATTTTGGAACCTGGCTGCAGGGGATTTGCTCTCATTCAGCTCCAGGAGTATTGTGAGGTCAGCCACTGATGTTGGGAGGGCTCAAACAATTAGTCGATCCAGAGAAAAATAATCTATTTTGGTAATCGATTTGCATATGATTTATTAAAATAACGAAATCTGGTGTCAGCTTCCAAAATATTAGACTTAGCTGCTCTTCTGTGCTCAATGTAATAGTAAACTGAATCTCTGAGGTTTGAAATGTTGGTTGGACAAAACAAGGAATTTGAAGATATCACCATGAGCACAGTATACATTTTATGGACTTTTATGGACTCTCTATTTTCTGTCATTTTAAGACAAATAATTAATTGCAAAAAATGACGGGTCACATTAATCTAAACTAATACTGTATGCTGTGGCATTAGGATTTTCTTTGAGTCCACATATTTTTGGTCATATAATGTGTAACAGAAGGGTGAGCATTTGTATTAGCTAAATCACTCTCTTTTTACTGTAAGGCAAGAAAAATACTAAAGTTCATTTAGTGTGATGCATTGTAATGCAACAGGAGGGATCACTAATGAAGAGATTTGATAATGAATTGACCGTCTGCTGTCCTTTCTGCTCCTTTAGGGCTCTCCAGGGCAGATCCCGGGACAAGACATGGAGCTCTAAGCTAGCCCTCTCCATCCATCTCCATTTGCTGCCTTGCACGCTGTTTGCCAAAACCACCTCCTCTACCCCTGCTGTAGCGGTTTGGCTCAGACTCCTATAAGAGAAGAAGAGGGAAAAAAAACCCAAGTGGGAGGGAGTAGTAAACTTTCCCCAGCTGCTGTCCAGACACACACATGCTGCATTGCTGCCATTCCCCAAGCCCTGCTCCATCCATCCCTAGGGCACAGCCACTAGCTTGCTAGCGAGCTAGCACTTGGCACAAAGACAAGGCCTGTCCTCGGGGATAAAAATACAAGCAGACTGTGTACATTTGCCTCTTTCTTTTTTCTCCCTTTTTCCGGGCCACCCAGCCCAAACACCCATTAACTGGGGCTCCTTTTGTTTAGCTGTCATACCCACTGCTTTGAGCAGTGGAGGATTACTAGTATCCGGTCAGTCAGTCATTCAGCCAGGCAGACTGAGGAAGCCAGAGGGGTTGGTTATCAGAGGCCAGGATGATGGAGCCCAGCATGGAGAACTGCCTGGCCCTGGTCCTGCAGAAGGACATGGGCCGTCGGCTGCAGGTGGGGCAGGAGATCATTGATTACATTTTGGACAAGGAGAAGTCCCACGACCTGGAGCAGGATCAGACAGCACTGGACAAAATGGTTGATGGCATCGCCAGCTCCTGGGTCAACTCCAGCAACTTCAAGGTAAACTCCAATGACAAAGCAGTGAACAATAGGGATTTCCTCACAACTGTAGCCGGTAGCTGGTAAAAAGGGATAGTTCGGAATTTTTGAGGTACTTGTCCATAGTTAGTGTATTACCCACATTAGATGTCAGTCGGCATGCCCCAGTTTGGAGACGCAGGCTGGAGTCTGATACGTAAGCTAAGGAATGTATTGCTGTAGGTGGGGTCACCAACAGAACACACTGTAGCTGCCTAAAAATGTCCCACAAAAAAAAAGCTGCATCAATTTAAGTATATGCTATTTTTAGAATATTTTTTACTGCTTTTCCTTACCGTCAGACAGTGATTTCTGACAGGGAACTAAAGCTGTTATATTATTCTGTTCAAAGCCAGACTCCTTTGAGAAAAACAGCGATTTAACATTGGGGAACACAGGTGCTGCTGGTCCACTCCTGCCTCGCTCACTTATTTTGTTTGTGTTATTTTGTGATTTTGGTGTTGAGAACAGTTAGTTCAGCAAAATCACACATGAACTCAAACTAACAAACTGATGGAGGCAGCTGTAGACCAGCAGCTCCTGTGTTCAGCAAGCCAAAATTACTGTTTTTGTCATTGGAGTCCGGTGGCTGTGATGAGAGCATAGATGGGTAACTAAAGTTGTTGACAGCTTCCCTGTAGGAGTGGGCTGTCTGACAGAAAGGTAAAGTGGTGAAAATACTCTCAATAAAGCATACACTTAAAGTGTTACAGATGTTTTTTAGGTGGGACTTTGTTTAGGTAGGAAAATACATTTTACTGCTGCCTCTGTCCCCAGCAGTACATCGCTCAGCTTCTGTGTCAGTACTCCTGTTGCTTCTCCAAACTGGGGGCATGCCAACAGACATCCACTGTAAGATATACACAGACTATGGGTAAGTACCTCATACACCCCACTTCAAAAGATCTGAAATATCCCTTTAAAGGCGCTGTATGTAAGAATGTGGCCAAAACGGTTACTGCGCTCAAATTCAAAATACTGCTGTGAGTCTTGTCCGCCCCCCCTCCCCTACATATTCGAGGTTGCTGGACAGCGGCACGCTGGAGACTGATTTGTTTGCCCACGGGCGGCTGCCGTGGCAGGGCTGCGTCGCCGCGTCCTTGATCTTCGGTTTTCCAGCGGACCATTCGAGCAAGTCCGGCTTCTCTGCTGCTAACGCTGCTGCCGGGATACAGCTGAGGAGGAGCTGGTTGCTCATGCTGGGACACTGCTAATGCTGCTTGCCGTGCTGCTGTAGCTCAGTCGTAACTGTAACTGATGCTGAGACTCTACTGACTGCGTGACTGGTAGACGGCGGTGGGTGGCACAACAGGCCAAAACACAAATTCAAAACATAAACATGATTTGTGGACCGCAAAAATTTTTTTTAGATGCAAATATTCTGGCCATACTGTTGTTGTCGGTGAGATCAGTATGTTATATGAACATTATTCCTTAGTCTCTGTGACATATTAGGATGATTTTACAACTATTTGCTTTAGATTTCTTACATATAGCTCCTTTAAGCCTTTACTATGACCAGATAGCTTTATGATTCTCCATTTGCATTCTGTTTTAGACAGTACATTACTGCACTCAGGAATCTCTGTTTACGCTTTTTGTCTTTAATCAACGACTCATTTTACGCCCACTGAAATTGTCTGTCAGTTGTGGACTGACTTGATGTAAAAGGCAGTATTGTGTTTAACAGCATGTTAGAAGTGTTGTTTTGCCTTTAGTTTATTAGGAAATGTCTGTGGCGGCTCATTCCACTGTGACATGCTTATGTTTGAGATAAAAGGTTCAGAGCAACTTAATGGTTTAAATCACTGATTCAAAAAGCTGTCAGTCACTGACTTATGGTCTGTTTTCAGATGCCTAAACATTGACGGCTTTTCTTACATGTACAATTGATACTACTGGCCTTTGAATCAAATAGAGTAACTTGTAAACATCTAAGCTACAGTGTAAAACTGTTGCAGAGTTCTGTGTTTCTTTTCTGTGTTTAGACTGTACTTCCACGTCATTGTACTGCCATATAATGGCCTTCTGGTTTGTGGAAGGAAGAATTTCCAGTTTTTCTGACTGTTTACTGTGCAATAACGCAAAATGTTTTCAGGCAGGCAGAGGCACATAACATCATTGTTTCCCTTCACTATAGATCTGGCTCACATTCTTCTTCTGTGATTGATAGTGCTTTATTTTGAAGTTTAATCTAGGGCAGAATTTTTATCTAACCCTGAATTGTGATTCCATCAGCAGTTCTTTCAGTGCCCAACCACAGGTTGCTTTCTCTGCCATAACTGTTAGAACACATTGTTTACTAAAGCTCTGATTTCATGTCGGGATATGCTGCTTTTGCTCCACTAGGGCCTAAAAATGTCAGGGATATCTGCCTGAACAAAGCCAAGCCTGCCCCCAATGCCCTACATACTGTGTAGCTCATTTAGGACAGGGAAGGCTTTTCTCTCTGTCTCTGCAGTCTTAATGCTGTGATGCCATGTTGTGCATGGTAGTTTTTGTGTGCTTCAAGTGACCATGTGTGTGGCATTGCTGTGTTTTAGCTCCCAGAAGTCTGGCACATGCCTGAGAAATATGGTGATGAGAGACTATGGAGAGTTTAAAATGAGAGTTTAGGAGAAGGAACAAGAGAGGCTTAATTGGATCTGGCCTGGTTATAACTCAAGATAGTGCAAGACTCCAGCTGGCAGATATTGGGCGTCGCAAGGAGGAGTCAATAATTGCAGTAGCAGATAAAGCTCCCTACATTGTGCCAAACTAAAATTTGGCCTTGATCTACTCTTTAGAATTAAAAATTCTCTTAAAAAAATGCATCAATCGTTTTTCCTATTGTAAGCCCTGCTTAACCTCTTCCACTCCGCGGGACCCCACCATCCTTGGCTGACATTACTGTCTTTCAGAGCTGAAGCCGGCTTAGTTTTAAAGCCAGAGAGAGGACTTAATAATGTTCCAAAGCTATATTTTGGCATGGCCATTTTCACTGGGGTCTCCTGACCTCTCACCTCAAGGTATCTGTATGGAAATGGGGTCTATGGGTATCCATAGCCCTTTTTGAATAGGAATTGCGCAAATTTTGCAGGAAAGCCCCATCAGCCTTCTTTCAGCATTGGCAGTATGAAAACAAAATCGGGGAGTGCAGCAAAATGCCGCCTGCCTACTTTTGTTCATACCAAATGTGCCTTTTTCGGGCCAATGGGGGGTGTGAGCAAGTAACAAAACGTGTAGCTCAGCATGTGACGTAAACAGTGACGTACTCCGAGGGAACCTGCGACTGGTCAGTCCTTCGGCGATTCTCTCATAAGTTGGCGTGTCCTTCACCATTCCCGTCATATGACTGTTAATGGCCTCTTCGTTTGCGAGGCCAAGGAGGGTGCGCAATTCCTTGTCTCCCCAGTTGCTCATCTTTACAGTGTCTTTCAGGTTTGCGTTTCCCTCTTGCTACTAGACCAAAACCAAAAAGGTTCCGCCAATATGTTTACCCCTACGCAGCGGAAAATTGGGCACCTCGGATCAACTCGCCAATCCGGCTCTGTGTATCTAAATGCTCGCAGCTTGCCTACAAAATGGCCCAACATTCGCCGAAAATCTGGCAGTGTAAAAGGGGCCCATGAGTCTTCCCTTTACAGACATGCCCACTAAATGCTAAAACCATGCAGTTTTGGGCAAAATCCATGCCATTTTTCTCATGCTATTTTCAGATTGTTTTTTAATATTTCTGCATACTGGGGTCCCTTCACAGTCTTAGAATCACATGAATTGGATATGACTGGAAAGCTGAGACCAATTTTATTTTCCAGTGATGATGGTAGCTCCCATAGTAGCCCTATATTGAAGGTAAACAGTTTCCAGAACAGAAATGCTTGCTATGCATTTGCCTGAAAATGCAGTTCTTAAAAAATGTCTAGATATCAAAAGTTTTGATACCAAATTACAGCATGGATTTTTCTATGGTGTTCCACAAGGTCTTATTGTCTTAATGTGGTATTTTGGAGTTTAAATGATGCATGGTTAGTGTGTTTTTTGTATGTGTTTTCTGGATGCTATAATGCCTGTGGAGGTTTTAGTGAGTCAGTATTTTAACTTGTTTAAAGCAGGCAATGGTGTTTCTTTTTCTTGAGGTGTGACAGGGCTGCTAGACAAACACGTTTCTACTTTTTTTAGGGGCACTTTCTGTGTTGTTAGTTAGCCCAACAGAGGCAGTATCCTCAGCACAGGCCCAACTGATCACTTGGCAACTAATGTGGAAACTATTTAGTTTGAGAGAAAGAGAGAGAGAGAGGGTGATGGATTCATTCGCCATAAATGGTGCTTTAGGCGGATGCCTCTAATACCAAGCAACTGTTTAAAGAAAGAGCTTTACACTCTCCTAACCTAAACTTCAGTGTACCATTCATTTTTTTTTGCTGCACATAGCTTTTGTGTTTAGATAACAAAGATTCGACTGTGCTGTGCTGTACTGCTGTGCTGGTTAGCTGACAAGACAAGTGTGGGTAAAAACTCTCTTCACAGAGGAGCAGAATCACTCAGTGTACTCTTCCTTGTGACTGGAAAGGGTTTCACAACATTGTGAGGCTAACAATACAATTTAGTTTGTGTCCATAATAAGATAGAGCAAAAAGTATTTTATTTTTCCTTGAACAAAATTGAGCTGTTTCTACAGCAACACTGGTACTGTGTCAGCTGTTATTTAAACATAATGAAAGGCTGCAACAAGTTACTGAAAGAGGAAAAATACTACATATGCCCAATTTTTACAGTCTCAAGCATGATTGTGTAGTAGGGCTGCCATGATTAGTCGACTAATCGATGACTAATCGACTATTAAAATAATCGGTGACTATTTTAGTAGTCGACTAATCGGTTTGAGTCATTTTTCACAGAAAAGTACTATAAAAGTACCCCAAAATACTCTTACTGCAGCTTCTTACATTCAGATATTGGCAGCTTTACACACTCTCCCGTGACAGTGAACTAAAACCCTT